CCTATCAGTCTCCAAAACTCAGCACCCCCCTTCCCCTGGGAGAAAACCTATATTGAACTGGGGGAGGCTGGAGCTACGTACCTTAGTTCACATCAAATTTTAAGGAGCATGATAATGAAAAATTGAGTTTACTTCTTGATTCATTAGACGGTCTCAACCACTTTTGTAGTTCATTTCAGGTTCGATTATTTCATTTTCACCCATCATTTCCATAGTGATCGACAAAATTGACGTGTCTTCACTTACCTCCGCTCGGAGCATTTGATTAGTGAAAAACAACTTCCGCGCACTACACGCCAAATTCAAACAAAAGTGACTTGAATGGTGTTAAAAATTTGAAATTACTATTTTTGTGAGGATGTATCGGAATAAATTTTAAAGTTACCAGCTTATCAATCTGTCAATGCGCACGGTCCCAGACTACATGTATACGCACTGGCAAAAACACGTTTCTCAGCTAATGAATAAGACTAGTTTCTTTTTTGGTTTAGTTTTTATTTTTTTAAATGTATCTTATCATCGACGCTTTATCCATCACTCTAGTTATCTTTAGACACAGTAGCCCACACAAAAAAAGAAAGACTAATATTTCGTAGAGGCTACAAACTTTTCTATTGAACATCTTTATTCTAAGGGAAAAAAAAAGCATTCCCCAAAGGTATTTCCACAAAACTGGCAAATTAAAATACCCTTAATTTAAATTTATTCGAATTTTTCTTGCATAGCATATCAAACTGTCCTTGCATCTTTACCTCGCTAAGAACTTATTTCATCTTTTACGTCTTCCTGTTTATGAATATCATGTTTATCATACATTCCATACTAATGTACCCTCAAAAATTTTCATTGAAAATTTTAATTAGAATCCAGGCTAACAAATGATGGCATGGATAAAGTTATGAGAGACTAATGGCAAGTCTTTTTCTGATAACAAGGCAAATGTCAGTTTGACGAGAGCGTACGGCTGAACTTAAGCGCGTCTCTCAACTTCAAAAAGTGAAAACACGAATGAACCATGGAAGCTCCTCTTTTGGTTCAATTATCTAATTTCCGTTGAAAATGGACGGAGATATATAGTGAAACTCTTATCTGCTATTTCTGTTATGTCTGAAATTTTTTTTGCTCTAACTGTAATTCAGGATTATTTAGGCGTTAGCGAGATAAAAGCACACTAATGCCTCAAGCAGAGGGAATCTGAGAGACAAATGATCGATGGGGGCTCAGCGAAGTGAAAACCTTAACTTGCCCCTCTGAAGACAGACTAGTTGCATGTGGTGGTAGCTTAAATAATTCAGACATCAGAGTAAATGACAATAACTTTTCGAGTAAGTTGGTTGTTCTTGTCAATGCTATTATTCTTTTTCAAAATCAGCATACAATATTCATCAGAAGACTGTTAATGTAGTTCAAATCAGTCAAATTATATATCAGAGCATTTTTAGCCGTCTTCTTCCGCAAAACGCAACCTTTTTCGATCTTTTTGCCGGTGAAATACCTCGCACTGGATGTTGGGAGAGCGCGTAAATCGCCTCAGGCTCGTGATTTACAATGATCGCCGATGCGCTCACAAAAATTTCCTTGTCAATTTACTGAAATGAAAATGAAACGGTTTATTAAAGGAATTTTGGATCGATCGATTCTTTAATTGACACACCAGTGAAATAAATAGTCGATTTTTAGCGAATCAGGACACGTTTATTTGTACAGCTAGCGGGGAAGTCGGTGAATAAAATCTTTAAAAATCGATAGATGAAAACAAAACTCAAAAATGGTAACAGGATTCCCGACAGACCCGTTCCACTACAATTGTATTTGCGGCAGTTTCAAAAAGGGAGTTAAAGAACAGCAGCACTTTGAACTTTCTGACGCAGGGGCTACTAGCAACATCAATTCAGTTACAGTAATTTAACGGGGCCATAGCTGTCTGCACGATCTAAGATTACGGGGAAAGAAGCCAAATAACACCAACAATAAACCATTAGAGTGTGAAACAGATGCCACAGTTTTCTTTCCAGAACCATCTATGAATATAGTTCATTGTTTCTGAGTCACATAATTCATATCATGAAATGCCGCGAGGCATCTAAATAGTTTTGGGGGACTATCATCCGTTTAGGTTTCTTCAGTAGGAAATGAGGAACAGAAGCGCGAAATAAGGAACATAAGAAGGCAAAATGCACGTTCAAATCGTGAGGTGCGCCACCAGAGCAAGGATGACCAATTTAAATAATGGGATAGCTTGTACGCTGGCAAGTTTCCAACTTGAACACATATTTTGCGCAATTAGCGCATCAAAGGTCTAAAGGCAAAATGCCGCGAAAAGTGAAACATAAGGATCGAAAATTCTCTAATAAGTCCCAGAACTTAGGTTTACCACCTGAATAAAAAACAGATATCTAGCCTAAACTTTAGGTTGAAATCTTCATAATATGACAGATTCGGCATTGTGGACGCGTGTATCGTATCATTTTGACATTTAATTTTGAAAATGTTTGCCTCTGGCGGCTGTCTCTTATTTAAATGACGTTTTATGCAAGATAAACGATCGATAGTAAAAATCTTATCCTCCTCCTGCCAGTATTATAGTATTACTGTCCGCAATTAGGAAGATATGTAAATAGTAAAATAGTATCTAATAGTAAATATTCATAAATAATTTTTTTCCTGTGATTTTGTCGATCCTCGTTCAGCGAAAAGAGAGGATAAAATGCAAACAAAACTGCAAATTTTATGGAGGAAATGGTAGAGAAACAACAGTCGATCGAATTTCAAAATAATTCGCTTTTTTTGTTTCATAGCATAGCGTAAGCAGGACTGCAATATTTATATGAAGAACAATAAGCATATTCAAATGATGTGAATGGAAGAGGACAAACCTGATAGATCCGGCTGTTGTAATCCTTGCCGAGTGATTGTTGTTTCAAATCCCGCTTCTTTTCTTCACCACAACAAAGAATTACCGTCAGGCTGGAAAAAATTGAGGTCGGAACATGTGTTAATTTCCTCCCACTTCAAAAGCAGAAAACCATGTGACTTTTCTGGTCTCGAGCCTCCAGGCTTGTGCCCTGAATCATGGCAAAATGAAACGCGCCGCAGTTTACCTATTTCAAAGAGCTTGCAATTTTCCTTGTGCTTAAGTTAGCTTTGGCCTTACAAGAAAGCGCTATCGTCTGCGCGAATCAAAGCCAGCAAAATACATCTTCGAGATCACATTAACTGATCAATAATATTTACAATTCACTATTTCGACAATCAAACCAGCACCTGTGGGCTCCTGCGGTGTTTTCTACCCGCTGAAACTCATTTTCGCGTCAGGAACTTTGCAGTTATTGGTCGTGTTCGCCCAAACTAGCGCTTTATCTTGTTCCATATCAAGATTCAATCCCTGAAATTCTCATAATTGCCTCAAAACAGCTCTAACCATCATACATCAAAAAAGAAGTGAGAAGTTTTAAAAAAAAAACAACAAACATTTGGCACAAAAAAACTCCGGGAAAATGACAACAACAACAAAAACAACGAAATAAATTCTAGTGAAGAATAATAATGGACTAGATATGTATACTCACAACTTTTCAGAGAGCAAACTGAATCCAAATTGAGTTTTTTAATTACGACCCGAGCAACAGAAAATAGATTTGGACACCGTTTAAAAACCTATCTTCTGTAAATCAAAAAAAGTAATCTTGTCTGTGCCTTTAATTTCGCCGAAACGGACTTAAATGGAGCGATTTAAAAAGGGTATTTTAAAGTGTCTATATTGTGCTTAAAATATTTAAAAAGCTTTGTACTCTGAATGTGATTTGACAGCTCGTAATCTAACTTGTTGTAAATCGTTATTTTAAACCCAAACGCGTCGGAAAGGGCCTAATATGTAAACCAAACAATAAAATTACTAGAAACTCGGCAAACATTTGCAAATTTGATACGTCCGAATTCTGAAAGGAATTTAATGCGAAATTACTTTGTCATTTTAATCACAACTTTCGTATACCATGGTAAAATGAAAAATCGGATCGACCTTGAACGTTCAAAGAAGTTTCTTGCGAAAGGAAAGGACAAAAGTAGTACTGCAATTTCATAAGGAAAAAAAACAACACAAAGGCGCCTTTATACAAAAATATGCAATTAGATCTATCTATGAAATTAAAAGAAATTCTATTTTATGCTGGCAATCAATTCAGATTCAGATATCAACAGCTGGTGAGTCATGCAATTATCAGCAATGTCCTGAAATTTAATGTTTTCAACTAGTAATAGGTATCTGAATTCTGAGCAAAAATCAGTCGAGTCTTTTTGCAATACTTTGAGTATCCATTGCTAAGAGAGGTTTCCTGAAAAAAGAAAATAACTCGCAATAATTTTGGCTCTATTAGAAACCCTGAAATCATCTCGAGCTTTAAAAACTGATCATTGAAAAAAGTTTTCTGACCCCGCCGACAATTATTCGTCCTTTCTGCCCCAAAAGTTCACGTTCATTGTTGCTATTTTAAACATTTCAGCTCTTCGAGAATGTTTTGGCCCTCACACAGCTTGTACGGCGATGATGGAGCCGTAACACAACATGTGTAACGAAATCTCAAGTTTTGACTTTCAACCTGACAGTCCACTTTTTTATGAGCCGCAGGAAAGCACTTTGCCTCATAGTTTGCCTGGCAAGCTATCAGGGGGCCTGGGCAGAGAAGGGGGAAGGGCGGGGTGGGAGTCGATATCTACATAGCCTTTGCTACTTACAAGATACAAGGGATGACAATACAACCATTATTTGTTTCTGCACTTACGTGCACTGTTTAGATATGGGAACACTAGATATCTAACACACGGCACGGCCTCAGCACGTAACAGGGAAAATTTGGAAGGAATTCGAAGGGACCGAAAAATGAAAACAGGCAGCCACGCCTCCACTAGCCTCTAGAAGTGATGCGAGCTGCCCAGGAACGGACATTCTGCTCTGCGAACAACGACAAATACATCAGTTTTAAAAGCAGAGATTTCAAACTTGTATTCTTGTACTCAAATTATTTGAAGCTTCCGCAAGCAAGTTTGATTTACATTTTTTTCTAGTATTTGACGTTTCTTAATTCATTTTTCAAGACCATCGCCCCATTAGGATCCCCGCTTGAACACTTCAACGATGCCTGAGCCCTTTGATTCTCTCAATTAACCTGTAAGTTCTCCTCATAATTTCAACGCAGTATCCCGAAAACAAGTTCAGCCATTGCTAGCTTCCCTTATTTTCAAGTTCATAAGCAATGTTCAACATTTCGTGCACATGAACGATCTTTTCGCGAGGTTTTCCGCGTTCATTTCCCCTCTTTTGTTCAACTTGATCGATTTTGCGCCATTGATCAAAGAACACAGGTCTGACCCCTGGAAAAGGAGAAAAAAAACAGATAGAAACTTTGAATAAATGAACAGGATATATACGCATATATTTCAATCCATGTACCGAAAGGTCAAGAGAAAGATTATCTTAACCCTTTACACCCAAACATCAGCATACATATCCCTCATACTGTTTTTTATACATTTCCTTTGACACTAACGATGAGAATTTACACAAATATCGAGAGCTTTTCAAATCTGCGATCATTTCCTTAATTCTCATGAGCCTAATGTTTGATTCAGCGGTGATATCTTGGTGAGAAATTAGATAGCAGTCGCCCTAGAGGGTTTAAGGCATTGTCATATGTCAGTGTCTCTGGTAGTGGACACTGAGGCTCTAGGGATAATTTCTACGACCTTCCCGAAAAATGTATCGTTCCAAAGGATTGGTCTGTAAACGGGGTTAGTGTGAAACAGGCCTCAATAACAACGCAGAAAGAAAAACGGAGGGAGGTCTTGGACAGGTTGTGTAACCCAGCTCAAATCTCCCCTTTGCGTCGCTCTACGCTATTTTTGCAAACCGTCTAACACTGAAAACCCTTGTACGGGCTACTCCACAAATGCACTGGTCACTCATCTTCCGCACTTACCTCTTGAGTTTAGTAAGCTTTTTATCGCCTCGTATCCCTTAACTGGATCGACTTTTGTCTTTAAGTTACCTTCAATTCAAGGGAGACAGATAAAAGAAAACTCTGGTTGGAACACAACTTTTTCCTCTCCCTACCAGTCATTCATTCCCTGATGAGTAGGTCTTGAGGAAAACTCACCGGATTTTAGATCCTGTACAACAAGCTCTCCTGTTTGGAAGGCATCGTTCATTGTGGTTGCAATGACACCTACAGGTCCATTTCTCACCCAGCCACTGCAGTACAGACCTAACGTGACAAAACAATCACAAACAGGCAAACGATGCGGGGTTATCCATTCGAAAAAAACTTTGCCTGAAAGTTTCCCGATCGTCATTGCAATCCGTGCTACACACAGTCATCCTTACAACTCCCTGCGAGTCTGTGGTTTTTTGCACTGCTTAAGTGTCTGTTCACTTTATCAAACGTTTAGTCAAACATTTAACTTGATTTAATGGCGATTGTCTGACACGCTTGAAAAAATATTCGAAAGATGGTAGCGTTTGGCCAAAATGATCCAACATGTTCGTGTTCTCTTTATAGAAGTTGATAATAAAGGTTCGGTAATGGAAACGCGAAAAAAAAAACGCCACAAAGGCACGCTATCGAAAGTGTAAGCCCACCCAAATCGGTCTTAGGAACTTGGAATTTTGTCAAAGCATTACCTGGAATTAAAGCCACATCTTTGTCGGACGTTCCAGTATTGTCTTCGGAGGAAAAAAGTAATAATTAATGAACGAGTGAAAGAGTTTGTTTTAATACAAAAAAATTAACTTGAGGCGATCTCCTTATAGCGCACCGTGCATCCTGTTGCACAGATCAGCCAACATCACCACCAAGAAATCTTCGTTGGAGATGTGAAAGTCGGTGCTTCACAGACAATTAGCAACAATTTGGATTTCAGCACTCTTGCGTACCGACGGCTCAGTAAAAAAATTCGCGCCAATCGGGTCGCTTCGCATGTTACATCATGGGCGCTGCTCTTTCACTACAAACAAAATCTCACACCAGAACATAAAAGAGCACGACAACAACGACGAAAACATCTCATACTAAACAGTCAAATCTACATTATAAAAATTTTCGACGGAGTACCGAAAGTTATTCTCGATTGGTTTTGCTTCATTTTGTTGTGTGTTTGTGCCAAAAACTTGCGCCACTTTCTCAACCACTCAGATTTTGTCACTCGTGTTTTCCCGCGCTTCAGGCAGTTTGCTTGGTTTTACTTCGCAGGAATTTTCTCTGGCTCTTTGAGACATTTTCCTTGATATGACTGGCTGTTGTGATTACTTTTGTTTTGGTTTTACGACACTTATTCTAAAAGTACTCTTATGCTGATAACAATAATGGCGTCAATTTTTGTACTTTTGCTTACTTGCATCAACTACTCTTCCATTAATGTTGAGGATGACACCTTTCCTCCTGTCAAACGGAACCTCGTTATCAAGTGGGATGCTTTTGTATCCAATGCTACGAAAAACCTGAGATAAAAAATACCGACAAATCAGTTAGCGAGCACTTAGCAAGCACTTACTTTGCGAGGAGAAGCCAAAAAAACAAGCCGAACGAGAAAGAAAAACACAAGTGAGTTGATTCATTTCACCGTAAAATTAGCAATAACTCGCCACTAACTGGAATAATTACAAATTTTTTACAGTACGAGCAGTCTCTCTCAGGCAACGTCCGTCGCGCCAGTGGAAAAAAAAAACAGTGGAAAGAAAATTGATGATTGCGCGCTGCGCGGAACTCTGGAGGTGAGGCGCGCGAAAAGTAGGTGTACTTCATTCCCAGAGTTCCACACAGCGCGCTAACATCAATTTTCTTTAGTGAGTTTTTTTACTCACACGACACGACTTCGCAGAAAGGGAGAAACTTCTCGTAGTCTACGGATTTTACAATCTCTCACCAAGCCACACGGTAAATCCTCATAAATGCCAGTGCCACGGGCTTGAAATGTTCCATCACCCTGCTGCATGCAAACAAACCATACTGTATTAATTCATGGAGCGCATTTCGAGTGAGTGTCGTAAACGCAAGAGTAGATCGGTAGAAAAGAATAGTTAATAGTTAAAACTAGCAAACAACTTGACGCCCAGGAAACACGAGTGGCCTAGTAAAGATTGGTTTCGTCTTGAATCTGATTGGTTGGGAGGATGGAGCGAATTTTCTGGACCAATCACATGCCAGCGAAGTAAGGCAAGTCCGAAGTAATCCCAGATTACTTTCGGATATTTACCTCAACTAAGTTGTTAACTTCACATCTTACTCCTGATATTTTTCCTAACGCCGACAGAAACTCCACGGGAGTCCGCTGAAACTTAAGCCCCCAAGTTTTGTGCGTTGAATTTTGTGAGGTACCTCCATCTCTTTAAAAGAAAAAGAAAACAAAGATTGTCCAAATTAACGTATCAGTTAAAAGGAGGTATTTGGTAGAGTTCATTTAACTTACATTGCTGTTTTGCACATCAGTTCTGTCAGTCTTTTTCGAGGTCTTGGAATACCTATAAAGAACATGAATCAAACAAAATTAAGCCTGAAAATTTGGTGGAAAAATCTTTAAATAATACATAGATTCTTATAGCCGCCAGCCAATAAAACGCCAACGAAATGTTTCTTCAGACAGGTCACAAAGCACATTGCCATAACAGCGTAAAAAGCTTCCAGATATTTCCTTAACCAGAAGCTTAAATTGAAAATACAACCTACTAGAGAGCTTTTCTTGTATTGTTCTGAAGTCTTCAGGATTAAATATAGCTTTACAACCTGGTAACTTAGTCATTTCACGTAATTCCTTGATAGTGAAAGAAACCTGGAGAGCAAAAAATTAAAAACAATTAACAAATCAAGAAATCTATACCAACAGTGTCTATACTGATGTAAAAGAAGATGGTAAATTTTATTTAAGCCTGATGAAACGATTATTAAGTAAAAATATGATGTTATTCAGTTAATGTCACAGGCATACTTGGAGAAAAAGAACTCCAAGTGCTTCTCAATATGTGAACAAGAAATCATATTGTAGCAGCATGCAGGATGTTTGTCACTGTGGGCCTAGGTAAACAGCCAAGCCTGCCACACAAGTTTTCTATAGCTCAGCAGTAGGAGATCTGAAGTACTAATCACAAGGTAAAAAGTTTGAGTCTTATAGGGAGCATTTGGATTTTTTTTTCCAAGCATGCCTGAGTCATTCACTCAATAACAACACTGATCTTTCACCCAGTAGCAGAATTTACCTCTCCTTCTTCATTGACTGCGTTACATTGAAAACTCTTTCACAAAATGGCAAATTTTAAAAAATTAGCAAAATGTGCATTTGATTTTGCTGCTACGTTACACACACCTGCAGAGGGCCCCTTCTTCCCACAATGTAAACTGTCTTTACTTGGCTCTTCTTCAACAGTTCCAAGGCATGATCACAAATGTCTGTCTTCTAACAAAGGTGTAAGATAGGAAGAAATACCAAAATTTTAAAAGTCACTAGGCTAAGCCTATTTTCTTTTTTCAAAGAATTTCTCTGTATGATGGTATGTGCTGGTTAATAATTGTCTGTATCAGAGCTTTTTAACCAACTTTAATTGGTCAACTTAAAATTACATTTTGAGATGTATGATGATAAGAGACCTTATTCGGATGCTTTGATTTGATTTTCAACACACACAACAAACCATTGGAGGTTCAGGAACCACTTTGGTTTCTTTTTGAAAAGTTTAAAACCTGACAAAGTGCATAGCACTTAAGTCCTTTCAAAATTTTACTGAAACATTGCTCAATGAAATGAAAAAAATACACATTTAAGATTACTCTTGTGTATCACATTTATCAGAGCCCATTATTCTTTATGTTTGGAAGTAACAGAGATGTGAAAAGCTGACAGAATGCTTGTTATTAATTACCTCTAAAAGTTCTATTGGACTGAGTAGAATCCTTGCAACATCAAGAGCAACATTACCCTGACCCAATATGACAGCAGTTTCTGAGCTCAGATCTGGTTCTAACTGTAAACAGTGGATTCAATTAGCAAAACAGAAAAATAGAGAGAGACCACAAAACAGACATAAACTTATAATTTATAAGCAAATAAATGTGTTTGTCCCTCAGGTACCTCAGTTCAAATAAAAAAACATTTTTATTTTGATTGGTGGCCAAATATACTTGGAATATTTGATCATGTCTCACTGATTAACCCTTTAACTCCAAGTGATAAACATGTAACTTCTCCTTATAGTTTCCGTACATTATTCAGCGAACAGGTAATGAGAATACTCAAACTCATCAGGTACAAGGTATTATCTTGATTGAACACCAAATTCTTGTAACTAATTAACAAGGAAATGTGTATCAGCTAGAGGGGAGAATTAACAATCAGATCTTGGGAGTTAAAGGTATAACAAATACACTTTATTGTTACAATTCTGGAATATAGAATGAAAAGAGAATTTACCAATGTTAAATTTGTATTATGCACAATGTTAACTCAGTCACTGGAAATCATTATCATGTGGTATTCATGTACACAGTTTAAGATTTATACATTTGGAATTAAGTGTATTTTGGAGTAAGTTTAGCTTTTGTTTAATTAAATTTGATCATATAAATAACTGCAGGGCAGGGTAGCATGAGGAAACAGCAATAAAATTACATACTTGAGAATTAGCTGGTAATCCATTATACCATTCCACAAATGCTCTTGCTGAATATACTCCAGGTAAATCCTATGAAGTTGTAAGTACATATGAGTATTCTGTACTACCATAATTATAATTGACTACTGAAAAAATCCTTCCCAGGACTACACTCACCCAGACCATCAGACTAAACTATCACATGACTAATTATTCCCAAATTGTCACAGAATAGGTGGATTACTGACCGGGCAACCAAGCATTAGAAATATCCTGTTCAGATTAAGAAAAAATGACATGTTACCTCACCAGGAATTCCAAATGTTCTGTCATCTTCTGCTCCATAACACTGCAAACCCAGGGAAATCATTTGACAAGAGACATATGATCATAACATCTTAAAATTGCTTATCAGGATTGTTCTATCACTGAATGAATTCCTATCAACTGTCATTAGGATGATAGTGTTGCTTAAGTATACACTAGTTCCCATTGATTTAAAATAAAGAGATGAACACATAGATATGTTGAATATAAATACATGCTGATGATGATCTCAAGCTGGGTCTCGAGATCATCTAATTCAGTCACTACTCCCAACAAAAGTGCTTCCCACAAATATCCTTGCCCAGACAGTCACACTGAATGATCATCAATTCACAATGCTAGGTACAAACCACATTTCTCGCAAAACACCTGTAGCCAATAGAGTTTTCAGAATGTTATACTTTAATTTTAGATTTGAATATCTTTTTAAAATCTGTTTTAAATTGCCTAATGTAAATAATAAAACTAAATTCTTTTTATCTTACCAAGATAACAGCATCATAAGCTTGGAGTAACTCTGTAAGTTTCACATCTTTTCCAACATTTACATTTCCAATAAAAGTACATCTGTCAGATGAGGCTGTAGTTGTGAACTGGTTTATACAGTTCTGCATAACAAGAGTACTAAATCATGTCACTGACATTTCACTTGATTTAAAACAGTTAAGTCTATAAACAGCTCAAGACAGTTGATTCACATATCTGAAAGAGTATATCTCAGTTTCTATAGTAAGAAGCAGCAAGGCATACTGTTAATCAACTAAATACAGTGCTTTCAATAAGACCCAGCACCCATCAGAGCTCCAGCTGGTATTCTGTTGTGAAGTACTGGGTATACTTTGGAAGCTTCCAAGCAAACTCACAAAGTGAGACCTAAAACACCTTGAGTTATTTCAGTTGACTTTTACCTTTCTAAGCAGGTTTTGATAAAAATGATTGATATTTTCTTATCTTATATTTCAGCACATATTTCATAAATTTCCAGCAAAAAAAGATTTTGAGTTTCCAAGGACATACTAACTTCAATTTTGCTAACCAGTAACCCTATGTCCTTTCAGAGGACTTTTTGGGTGAAACTCAGGGAACATGCTTGCATGTCAACAAATAGAAAATTTTGATTGGGGGAGTAGTGTAGTGATACTCCTAGTTGCTTCATGTGTGCAAACACTAAAATATCCTCACCTTAGTTTCAGGATGATCAGGGGCAATTCCAAATCTTGCTAAGCCAAATGGTACAGGAAGACGTTCATAAACATCAGTCACAGCATCTTCATGGGACTGCAAAAATTAACATACACCAGTCAGTTTCCGACTCCATAAGGAAAAAGGGGGAGGGGGGAACGTACCCCCCTCCCTCCACCCTACACACACGCCCTTTTCCGAAGCCAGTCACTGAAAGGGAACAAGCAATAATAATTATTTAAAATGCCTACCTTCAAAATTTGCTGCGCTGTGTAAAATCCCGCAGGACCACTGCCTACAATACCTACATGAGGTCCGTGTTTTTGATGTTTACTAACAGACACCGAAAAACACCTGAGATGTGTAGTGAACAACCTCCGAACGCCAGATTGCACAGAGCTTGCGATAGCGTTGCAAAGACTCAATGATGGCTTCAGAGATGTCCTCATAACCTTTTACAGCTTTACCTCTTGTTCTCCCTTTTTTCTAAGAATGATCAGTGATCAGTCTTCAGCTTTGGACTCTGAGATCACCGTAGATTGTGTGATTTGCCATGGATTACTGAACTGAGCCCACGATAAACTCTGGATTTATGGACAAATATTCTGTTGGTGTAACAATCATCTAGTGAACATCTATGTCATAGATTTTCAACATGGCGGAAGCGAGTGGCGGGGAAAACACTTCTTCGCCTTCTGCAACAACATCTACCGATAGCAGCGATCAAGCTGCAAGTGGAGACTCACTGAAAGAAAAGCCCACTTGCATATTATGTCTTGGTATGGCTGGATCTGGAAAGACAACTTTTGTGCAGGTATATATTAAACGGTTCCCCTCGGTTGTCAAAAAGTGATAGAACGTTCCGATTGCGTTAATTAGGTCCCACGTGCCCTTAATGCGTTCGATCACATCGAGGAGAGATAATTCGTTTGGCTTCCAGAATTATGATTCAAGCGTAACACTTCTACATTATACTGGAAAAATGATCCTTGTTACTCTAACTCACTGCAGTGATGACAACAATCCTCGTAGTTTTTTAATGAACTTTATGAATGATTTGGGGAAAAAATGTGGCCAAATGATTCCATTATTCTTTAAGACATAATTTCTTATATAAGTTTGAGTTTGCAATGAAACTATCGACTTCTTAAATAACTGACTGAAGAGTTTGTATTTTTAAATGAATTGCATTGAAATGAAAGTCCACTTGACCACAAGTTATCGCAAGTTATGAAGCAAGAATGGGGTAACGCTTTGAATAATCAGCATGTTGAAATCTTAAGGTTAAGGTAACATGAATGTACTTAACCCTTATCTCTCATAACCAAGACAGAATTTCTCCTTACAATATCAATACAATATCAAGCAGGCAGGTGATGAGAAAAAAGAAAAATATCAATTAGGCGATTATTTTTTGATTCAGTACCGAATTCTACAAACTAACATTGCAAGAATTATATATCAGACAGTAGGGAGAATTGCTAATGAGATCTTGGGAGTGAAAGGATAAAACTTCCAAGATACTAAAACCATTCTGTAACCTTTCAGAGACTAACAGCACACTTGTATGCCAAAAAGGAGACTCCTTACGTTGTCAACCTTGACCCAGCTGTGAAAGAAGTACCATATCCAGCAAACATTGACATCAGAGACTCAGTGAACTATAAAGAAGTCATGAAACAGTACAAGTTAGGACCAAATGGGGGAATTGTTACATCACTGAACCTGTTTGCAACAAGATTTGATCAGGTTATGAGCTTTCTGGACAAGAAACAGTCAAATGAGTTCAAGTTAGTAATGCTTTCATAATTTCAAAATGAAGCCAAAATGAGCTAGTTTTACAAGGATACCACTAAATTTTTTAAGAAATTTGATTCATTGAACAGTGAATTTTTTCGCATTCTAAAGATTTATGTGAACCATGTTACTTCCAGGGTTTTAAAGCTACCTCTCCTTCTTTATTTTTTGTATTTCTTTGATGGCTAATCAAAAATTACTTATCCCCAAAAAAAGAGCTGTAAAGGAGCCTGGATGATAATATCACTATCATTTATCGAGCACAATTTTTTTTTTGCCATTTAATTCATATTCCCAGCAAGCATCTGATATCAGATTAAATATACTATTATTTCATTGCAGGTTTGCCATCTTTGACACGCCAGGCCAGATAGAAGTATTCACTTGGTCAGCATCAGGGGCCATCATAACTGAGGCACTTGCATCTTCATTTGCCACAGTTGTTGTGTACATAATAGACACAGCAAGAAGCACAAATCCTGTCACTTTCATGTCCAATATGCTGTATGCCTGCAGTATCTTGTACAAGACCAAATTACCATTTGTAGTTGTTCTAAATAAGGTGATTTAAGTTTTGTTTTCTCTGCTGGTATAGACCAGAAGTGTCTGTCTTATTTCCAGGTCTAAGTCAAGTCTCCCAAAGTTCTTCTTTCAGGTGGTAACCAGTAAAAATTAACTTCCTATAGTACCTTTTCTTACTGCCTAAAATCGCTTGGGAAAAAAAAAGGTTGCTCTACTAGTTTTAAAATTTATTTTAGCCATGATGTTTAAAGTAAGATGAGAATGCTGAGTCTCTTGGTGTGATAACAATATCTGTTTGAGTCAGCATTTGGCATTTAGTGCTACAATCTAAAAAAAAAAAAGGAAACAAGGCCAAAAACCATACTTTTTCAATTCACTCGAGGATCGCATTTTACTACAGATAACTGAACCAACAATATTTTTCATTTTTAGACAGACATTGTTGATCATAACTTTGCTGTTGAATGGATGCAAGATTTTGAAGTGTTTGAAGAGGCTTTGTCTCAAGATACAACTTACATGTCAAGTTTGACGAGGTCAATGAGTTTGGTCCTTGATGAGTTCTATCAGAATCTTCGGACCGTAGGTGTATCATCAATGACTGGGGCTGGTTTTGAGGAGTTCTTAAAGGCAGTAGACAATGCTGTTGTGGAGTTTGAGACTCAGTACAAACCAGGTAAAATACTTTGAGATATGTTAACCATTTTACTCCCTAGATCTTCTACCTGATAAGTTTTAAGTTCTTTTATTGCCTGGACTCTTGATGATGTATGGATATTATAGGGAGAAGTTGCATTTTAATCATTTCTGGATGGAAAAGATGAACTGCAAAATACCATGTTTCACCTTGGTCTAAAGAGTGGGAGACCACTGACCTGAAAATTGGTGCTGGATTCTGGGCTGAGAGGTCCAGTCTCAAGACCTTGTTGGGTGATGTTGGGGTGTTCTTGGGAAACCACTCTTAACTAAGAAATATGAATGGGTGTGGGCAAACTGTCAGGAATCCCTGAGAAATTGCGGGAATGGTACCCTGCACTGGACTGTCTTCCTATCCCAGAGGAGTAGAAAAACTGCTTGTTGCTTCTCGCCACAGTGACTGATATAAGCTCTGCCTGGATGGGTCACTTGGCCCAAATAGAGACTTACCACTTTTTTGTAACTTGAAGTTAAGAAGGATGTTTTAGCATTTCCCATGAGTGTGGAACATTAAAAAAATCAGTCAGAGTCCCTCACAAGGTGGGATACTCAACAATGAAATTGAAAGATCTGGGGTTCAAATTATTTGGGTCATGCTCTAAGAAGTGTTACATCTTTCCCTAAAACTGTAGTTGCCTGTTCATAGACATCTATTTCTTGTTATTTTTTTCTTGGAAACTAAACATGTGAGCCAGTGTCTTTAAAGAATTACTTGCCAGACTCTGAGAATGAAAGGGTTACAAGTGATACTATCCACTTTATTTTACATTTCCTTCCATTTTCCTCAGAATATGAAAGGCTGAAAAAGGAAAAAGAAGAGAAGGCAAAAAAAGATAGAGAAGACCAACTAAAAAAGGTGCAGCAAGACTTGGGCAAAGGAGAGGCTGTTGCTATGGAAACAGTCAAAACTGGTGCCCAGGCCATTGAGTCTGCACATGCAACTCCCTTCCATATCTCCCTTGGTGCTGATTTGGATAGTGATGATGATGATGAAAGAGGAGATGAGGAGGAGTGGGATGAGGAGGAAATAAAGGAACATGAATCCTTCAAGAGATTCTTAGAAAAGGAGAAACAAAAGGGGCAACATGTTAAAAAGGAAGAAAGTGGCTAACTGTTCAAGTGAAAAGCGTTGGAAAAAAAAACAGACCTTGAGACTATATTTATCAGAGGAGCAAAAAAATGATGTTATTTTATGCACAATTATGTTACACACTAAAAATAATTAGTAGCCTGATAGGAAAGGAATTACTTCAGTCTGTAAATCAGCCAATATACATGTCAATTGTGAATGATAGGTTTTTCAAACATTTTAGCTCACACAGCTGCTTAAAATGTGGCAACAGACATCGAACTGTTTTCAACTTCTTATTCCTCTCAGTTTCATTGCTCAAAGCTCCCACTAAACAGCTGGTCATTTAGGCAGCAGGCATTTTGGCCAGAGCCAGGGTAAATATATTATCAAGTTTTGGTGCAAGGCAGGTTATGCTGAACAAATTTTTATCTTAATCACTTTGACAAAATCGTTTCCTCGATTTGAAATGATTCATAAATCAATCTCCCTTGGTAAGACTTGTAGCTCATGTTAGCTATATACTTCCTGTAGAGTACATGTCTTGAAAGGGATGAGGTTATGGTGGTGTCTGGATGCATATGAAAGTAGTCCCGTTTAGACTAGGAGATTTGTAGTCTAAGGAGTATTATATTCGCGGAGTAAAAAGCCAAGAGAGGCTTGGGTCGGGTCGGGTACTCGGTTAAAGAACGCGACCAGACCCAAACTTCTCTCGTTTTGTCACTCCTCCGCCACTATATTGCTGTCTACTATTGCGCTTTCAGTTACTAACTTAGCGCCTGGAATAGGTTACCAAAGTATTTTTGAAGAACATCATTTACTCTCCCTTGGCATGAGCTTAGTAAAAGTGAATGTCCTCGAAAAAGCCATACGAGGTAGTCTGAAATAAATTTATGCCACCTGGCAAGGGGTATTTAATCTTCTTAGTTCTCAAGGACTGAAAATTACACACAACCGTTAGGGTTCTACAGGAGTACTTAAGATCTGCGGCGAGGCCAAATTTTTAGGCGAAACACCAACTTTATTGTAGAAAGTTGAGATAAAAAAAGAAACGCATTTCAAGGCCAAACGTTTGATAAAGGAAACATCCAAGTAAAAATATTTTTAACATCAAGTACAGAGTAAATACCATTACCAGTGTCAGCTGGATATAAGGATTACTAATCAGATCAAAGGAAACGAGCCATGAAATTGCATCTAAATTCCTTGTCGTTTCTGCTCTCTTTGATCCTATGCAGTAATTAACACAATCAAATTTAATTAGAATCATCATCCGTTTCCTGTAGTGAGGCAATTGGTGAAGTAACCCTGGGCCCTAGTAACAATACAGGCATTGTTTAAATACCATTGGATTAACAAAACTAAACTGACAGCTGTAGACATCTATCACAGACTGTGTTGATTTACTTAAATTTAATTTTCTCCTGGGTGGTCGAAGGCTGGGAGTCAAAAGAAAACAGAATATCTGAGGTTAAAAATAGTTGCCTGGTAATAGAAATACAGTCTTTTGTGGTCACGTCCTCGTCATCGAGTTAAAGGCTTTTTTCTTGCGAAAGGGGTTAAGAAATTAATCTTTAGGGCGTGATCGCCTACCTGAAAAAAAGGGAAGATATGAGTCTGTCAGTTTTTTCAAGGGTAATTCAACTTCAGTGGCATCACCGCTCCACGGCCGTGTTTATATATCCTTGTTTGTGTGCATATGTTCCAATACTGTTTTTCCCTTTTAATTTTCACCCCCATAGGCCAGCTCGTGGAGGCGATACTGCATCATTCCAAGTTAAATTTTCCATTTTTGTTCATTTAAGGTTTGCTGGTTTAAGAAACCTGAACGCTATTCAAAAGCAATCGAGTTTCATTTGCCAACTGATGTCAAGACCTCTCCGCGTGAGTTGACTATTTGTAACGTCTGCGCGCGAGGTCGTCGCGAATAGCTCGTGTCTCCCTCTTCTCGAGCGGGCATCTCCTTCCACCCACCTCGCGAGTCTCCCTTGTGATCACTCTCTTCTGCCTTACCACTAACAGAAGCCCGTTCCTATCCTGAAAAACAAAATTAAAAAAGAAGGGAACTCAGTTTAGCCATGGCCTAGCCATAAAGTTTGAGACATGTCATGGTGTTTTGTAAACATAAGCAAGAAGCAAGCTTCTCGATCTTTCACGAGATATTACGGCACCACTTGATCATAATCAGTAACTTTCTTGATGATACTTGATAATACACAGTAATACTCAGTAAACACTTCACAAGGCTCTTGAGAAAAAAGTGCATCTAGTTTGAATCGGTGAAGGTATATTTTTAATGATGAGGGTTGGGATGTTTTTCATTTTTCGGCGAGAAATTTGTGGTTTTCCTTAGCTTCGCTATGCTGTTGATTCTACTTCCATGGGTTGTACTATCAGTTCTGAGTGCAACTAAAAATATTTTGTCCAAATATGCTATTCGTCGCTGGATGAGATCGATATGTTACAATCTATGACGATTTTTTTTTTGTCAGTCTGCATGCCAGCGATACGGAAAATATATCGGCTTAAACGGGTTTTTAAGGCTTCAGCTTCATGCTTTCCATTGACATATCCAATTGCCCCTCCCTCCTCCCTCATCCCTCCCTGGGAAAAGGCGCAGTCCCGGTTTTTTAATGGGAAAGCATTCAGCAGGAATTAAACATGAAAATACGCAAATTAGTGTCGAGTGACAAGACTTCGAGAGAAGGATGCTTGGTTTTCTTACTGAGCTTTCGTTGCAATTCTTCAGTATAAAAATTGCTGCAGCTAAGTGAAGCCGAGGTCGTACTCAGGCCAATAACGAGAGCCATAAAGAACCGGAAGACAAAGGTCTCGACTGGTTTGCAGATTCAAAGGACGAACATGTTCTTCTGCAAATTCTTTGGAAGTGTCTGTTGGGAAGGACTGGCATCAAGGAAAATAAAGTTAAAGAAGTCCTTTCCTGACCAGCAAAAAATTTTTGAGGATGGCCCTCCCTCTTTCGAGCCCCGTCATGACACCCCCACCCCTCTTACCGCAACCGAAAACCTTCCCTGGAATGTTTATGAAGTGTTAGCTTCAGTCTTTGCACAAAAACAGCGAGGTCCCCAGCATCGACGAGAATCGAGCGAAATTCGTGTCTCTGTTGCAAGGCCAACACAATAAGTTTGAAAACTGAGCCAATTCTGTATTAAGCAATTCAATGGGGTTGACCTTTGCTTAAGCAAATTTAATTTCGTGTAAAAGGATATCCAATTATTGACAAGAGGACTGCGGTGTACTAGAGTAGAAAAAAGTAATTAAGTGCTGTTAAATCATAAGTTTTGTAATTAGAAGTAATTACATGATCTTAAACGTTTTATATTTCATAATTAAAATGGTGTGGTGATACATAAATACAATCATTGAACTTTATTTGCATTTTTGTCACGTGATAGCGGCGACGGTTCCCTTGGTGACAGTCTTCGTCCTAAACACAGTCCTCTGAACACCAAGATGGCGGCGGTGGCTGCTGTAATCAGGGCAGAAACAACGGGTTCTGTAGCCTCAAGCTTTGAGCAAACTCTTCCCAAAGCAAAAGAAAAACAAAAAGAAAAGGTTAAGGAAACCTCAGATCCTCTCAAAGTCCTAGATCCTGTAAGAAAAAAGCTCACATCAGTCGAAGCTCAACGTGTGATAGCAGTTGTTGATGACTCGATCAAGAGATTGGAATTAGTCTCCCTGTTGCCATATATCATCGAAAACTTAAACCGTTTTTCGGTCGTCCTTGGATCCGATCTGGTACAAGTTTTGGAAGAGCATGATCGCATTCAGTCGTCTTACCAAACAGCAATTTCTAAATTCTCACTCGACCAAAGGCGCAGTCGATCGGCTACTCCGACGGCATCGCACGTTTCATCGCGTCGCTCCAGTGAAGCTTCGCAAGCTATATCAGAGGACGAACAGGGAATACCTAGCGTATCAGGTACTTTGCCGGAGAGCAGGGCAAGTTCTGCTGGCAGCAGGAAATCCTTCACCCAGAAACCAAGTCAACTGAGCCCGCTGCAAACCAGCAACGATCAAAGTGTGGACCTCAAAGTTGTCGATGCCCTTAGCACCCAGATGAAGTATTCTGTTAAAACCATTCTCAGGTTGTTTGCCTCAAATCCAGCCGCCGTAAACGTACTTAAAGATCTGAGAAACGAACGATCGGTGGAAGGAAATACAATGATCGACGAAATGACCACGTTGAGGGCGATCCTATTTGAGCGATTATTGACAACACCAAGCGAAGAGAAAGAGAGGAAACAGTATTTGAAACAGGTTGTCGCCAGAGAAATGAAATCCAGTGAGACAGGCAGAAAACTTCAGGATGAACTGAAAAGAGCCATTGATGATAAAGAAAACGAGGTATACTGGACATGACTTCTGTAACAATTCTTAACTATTTTAAATCATGGTATTCGAACCCTATATACTTTCTCCCCGCTCAGTTCTACAAACAGGAGAGATCACACACCAATCACTGAACTTAATATTTATTCTTTTAGATTTCCAAGAGAAATGACATCATTCGTAGACTGAAAAATGACATCTACAATGTAGAGAAAAATGCGGAAGAGCAAAATCGTAGGGTCATTACCGAGGCAGCCAAGCAAGATGCATCAGAAATGAAGAATTCTGACAGCAAGAAAAGCAAACTGCAACAAGAAAGCATAGAGTTAAAAAAGAAACTTGAAAGCGACACACTCACTCATAGAGAGAGTGAGCTGGCTTTGAGAAAGGTAAGCGTTAGTGGTTAATTACTACAAGAGCTCATCCCAGTTTTGATTGTATGAAGAAATTTACAGTATGGCTCCCTTCTGATGCCCTGGATGTGATGCCAATCCATTGCAGGAACTCCCTCAGTCAACACCATATTAGTCCTATGGTATAAATATTCTCCACACTGTTTGTTAATGTACATCTCCCATGGTAAAGATAAGGACAATTTGGTCAAAATTCAAGAGGTTCTTCAGTTAGTGATCATTTCCAAAAATCTCATGACCTTTATGGTTGATATAGTGGTGATACTGAAAAAAGAAATTAGATGTCAGGCACTCTTAGGGTTTCAAGAGTTAATATTTTATAATAGAGGTCTAAACATCCATTCTAAACCAACCAAAATTGTAAGCACCATTAACCCTCCCTCTCTAATAGGCATATCCTTACCCTTACCCCCCACCCCTCAAAAAAAACAAACAAACTCCGCAAATAGCATTAGTATAGTCATTCATTAAGGATAGGTTATGTTTCATCTTAAAATAGCTTTGCGACTTATATTACTAGATCTAGGACTATACTATTAGGTCTAGGACTTGGTTTTCAACCAAAGAAATGCTTACTGTAACATGTTTCATAAAATCAGAACAACAGTTCAGCGTGGTGGGGGGGGGAGTTTCAAAGTTTTGACTTGAGTTTTGATTCTTGCTTCTTCTAATTCCCAGAAATTGATAGGCCCTCCCACCTCCGAAGAGGCTTATTATAACATTTACAATAAGTTTACCTAAAGAAATGTTCTATCTACAGCGAAAGTACAAGATTGAAACTGAAGTTGAGAATTGGATACAGAAGTATGATACAGATATGGGAGAAAGACAAGTAAGACTTATATATATATATTTTTTTTTCACTCAAGAGAATAACAAAGAGAAAAGTCACAGGCTAGGCAGCTTTGTATGAACTTTCCATGCGAGATTTTTAGAGAGTTTGATACAGTCGAGGCAGCTGATGATTAATTAAGGTCGATAGAATGTTGTAGCAAATTTTTAGAGCCGATTACGACGTAACAAGCGTCAGCCCTCCGTTGAAGCACAGAGAACAGCTATGGCACTTAATTGAGAAACTATTTTTTAATCTTTCCGCTAAATTTTTGCACTCTGCAGGATGAATTTGATGCCCTAGACACGATCTACACGGAGGAGAAAAGGCAGCTAAATGAACTCGAGGAGCGTTTCAAGACCCTGGAGAAAGAGTACTTGGAAATCGTGGAAGCGAGAAGAATTGCAAAAGAGAAGGCCGAAGCTGCTGAAAGAGAGCTGAATTTGAAAATACGAGCGGCGAGATTAATACAGTCTCTATGGCGAGCGCATAGAGCCAGAAAACAGCTCAACAAAAAGAAAAAGGGAAAGAAAGGCAAAAAAGGAAAGAAAAGCGGAGGAAAAAAGAAAAAAAGATAAACTTCTCCATGAGGTTGAACAAAACAAAAGCCATCTTATAAAAGAAAAGCCTACAGAACGCTGAACTAAAGTTAGCCGAGTAGATTTCTCCTATTATCCAACTGCTCTTCTTTCTGTTGAGTCTTTCTGCCCGTTTCTCGTGAGGCGGGAAAAGCAAAACGGATACAGAGGCGTAGCGCGCGCAGCCGACTGGTTAAACATGTTTTTTTTTACAGTCCAAAATAATCAATTGTTCAATATCGCAGGATTTTTGTGCTCTATTCGTGCGTTATTTGTACTTTACTTTGTGCAGTTGGATAATAACTATGACTACTCGCTCCTCCGATCCAAAACTATGAATTTTTATTGGCAGCCTTGTACGTCTTTTACATGGAACGTGAGCTCTATAGAGAGCCGCTGCTCTGGAAATGAGCCTACTCCTCTCTTGAAGAGTCGTCCCGGGGAAGAAAGAAGACAACTGTAGAGAGCGGCGAGATCCTAGCCTGCATATAATGTCGGGAACTTGCTTAACTCTAGTAAAATTGGTTTTCTTATGACAAATACGAACTTGCGAAAGTTTATTGCTCGTTAATTTTAAAGAGGGGGCATGGAGGTTCATTAAAAACCTTAAAAGCGTAGTAAAAATCATCCAAAACCACAAAAAAAATCGATCAAAACCGAAAACCGCATTCAAACCGTCGTAACCGATTAACTTTCACGACCCAGTTATCAAAATCCTAATCGATCCGATACAGTCAGTGACAAGTGGAGCATCTTGACGGAGGTTTCGCGGCTATTCGAGATCAGTGGAAGCGCATAATTGCCGCTCAGATCGTGGTGAAACCGGAACCCAAATAGGAAAAAAAACCCTTTTAAAAAGCTAAAATCTCGAAACCGAAAACCCCAATGCCCCCCCCCCCTCTATAAAAGTCACCGTAAAATTTGTGCAAATATTGTAAATATGTAATTAAGGATGAACATTTACGGCGAAAAACTGATTTTTTTGTTCAGAAGAAACTTTTGTACAAGTTAGTTGTGTTACACTTTTAATGGGAATTCTTGTCAGTGATGTAACTTAAATTATTATCCACCTAACCCATGTTACTTGCGCTATACAACGCTGGGGAACAAAAACTGTGGTCCACCTTTAGAATGTTTTTCATTGGTCCGAGACAGTGTGGGAGTAAATAAAGAAAGTGTCATATAACAGTTGTGTCTGTTTGAATATTCATTAAAAGTCTCCCTCTCCTGACTCCTTTCTGAGCTGTGCAGTGAAAGACTCCTCTTATCAAGTCCTTACGGATTTTATCCTATTTAGTCGGCGAGTGTACGAGTCCAAGGTCCAGTTGTATAAAGGCCAGATTACGCTATCCAACAGATAAATCACTGTCCAGCGGATAATTGTTAACTAACTACTGCGCTATCCACCGGATAGAGATTTACCCACTGGATTGCGTATCCATGCTTCGAACAACCGGGGCCAGAATGTTTGTCAGAGTTTGCCGGCGCAGTTTGATGTTCCATTTTTGACATGATCATCTTATGAGGTAATTCTTGTTTCTACTTTTTACGGGTTTTTTGCCACGCCGACGCGACTTTCAGCATCCATTGTTCACCTACATAACAAATAACACGTTTCAGGCACGCATACAATACATATTACTGATCACGTACGATGAGTTGTTCGCTTACCTTTTTCGTTACAACGGAAGTCACATAAGTAGACAAATAAGTTTTAAAGGAAGTCCGTACTCGTGGATGATACAGGCAAAATCTTGAACGTAAGATGATTGACGGCCTTGTCAAGACAGAGAATGCAGGGTGACTTTTATCAAAGTGCATTGACACCCGCAAAAGATTAGGAGCTTTAAGGAACTATTCATATCCTTGGATGTCACGCAGTACTTGAGAAGCGTTGCGTGACAACCTAATGAACGCGAATGCTTCAAGAGTATAGAGGTGTGTGTACCTTGAATTCAGTGGTTGGTGTCCTGGATCGGCTCTCAATACAAATCTTAAGGTACATTTCTTCTACACTGTTTTAAAAAACAAGTCCTGAATCATCAAGCATAACAACGATGAAATCTGAAAGGTCACAATATGCAAAAACGAACGACTTCGAAGTGTAGCGTAATTTCCGCTAAAAATAAGGAGAACGACAAGGATAGAGACAATTAAAAAGTCAACTTATTTATGAAACAAAATTAGCAGGTTAAGACTTGAATCTGCAGACACAGGCCGGAGGAAACTAATATCTTTAATAAGAGCACGGGGAAAATCCTTTTGACGTGATCCTATTAATACTTTGTAACAATGTAAACTCTGATGCACGAAAACTTGAAAAAGTTGTGTGAAAGCCCTTCTTAACTGTTTCGACGGGGCTTACGTTAGTCTCGCGAGCTGGGAAATGCGATGCGCGCGAGTTAACTCTCGCGGTCTCGGGTAGCTCGCAATAAAAATGACAAAAACAAAACAAAACAACAATGAAAAAAGCCGTAAGATCTGATACTAGTATATCATTTTGCTAATTACATAAAAATCACTTTACAACAAACCCATTAATTTGTTATTCCACGAAGGATCTGTTTTCGTTTTTTAGGGCTGTCAAAAAAGTTCACAACAGCCACTTGAGCCAGCTGGGAAATTACGCAGTTCTCAAATGTCGTGTCTTCTCGTTGTTGACCTTTTCAATCTCGTGGTCATTAGGCATATAAAGATTTAAATAATCGACGCTCAAAGCTGCATTTTTATGCAGATGTTGGTCCATTGTGAGTTTTAAGGCGGCAGCGCGTGAAGCACTCATTTTAAAAACCAATCAAAACTTTGAATGTACATTTTACCTGACAGGTACCGACGGACCTAATGAAGCATATCTCTTCTGTCAACTGTTCCATATTTATATGGGTCTCTTCACACGCATTTCCCATTTGATTTCCGTCCTGGCTCGTATTAGCGGGTAATAGTACTTGTGCTGATACTGGACGGTAATAAACAAGCCAAAAGGATATAAACTTCTGCGGCAATTAATTTGTTATCAACTCTTCGTTCGGCGAACGTGTCAAGGTGGAAGATCACGCGGCAATTCAGTTCAGTTCGATAAACTACCGTCGAGTCCTGACTAGAGTAAAACGTGCTGTGATGGAACTTGAACTCGATAGTATTCAAATCAGGGAAGAAAAAGGCCCCAAACATCGCAATGGAAGGGCATTTTCACGAAAGATGAAACGGCGAAGATTGGTGGACAAGAGAGGACGAATTCATGTGAATTACGTGAACGTACCTGATCGTGGGCAACTGTATTATCTTTCAGACCACTTCACAACTTTAATCGAAGCTCAGTGGAGATACGTTATTCTCATTTTCTCACTGTCTTTTATAGTTAGCTGGCTGGTGTTTGGGACGATTTGGTGGGGAATTTACAGCTACCGCAAGAAATACCACGACATCGAATGTATTGAGAAAGTTGACTCGTGGACTTCAGCGTTCTTGTTCTCGTTAGAGACGCAAACAACGATTGGTTATGGAGGCCGACAAGTCACACCGCACTGTCCGGAAGGAGTAATTTGTTTGTTAATACAATGTATCATTGGTTTGTTAATCTCCTCCACAATGCTAGGGCTCATATTTGCCAAACTTTCGCGCCCTCACAAGCGAAGATGCACTATTCTATTTTCACGCCACGCTGTTATAGGTCCGCGTAATGGCAAACTTTACTTAATGATGCGAATTGCGGATTTGCGAAAAAGACAGCTCATAGAGTCACACATTCGTGTTTTTCTTATCGATCGATACGTCTCGCGAGAGAAAGAAAAAATTTGTTGTTTTAGGCAGCCTCTTTCAATAACTTGCGACAAGGACGATGACGATGACGAAAAAATATTTTTATTTGCGCCAGTAGTTCTGCTGCACGAAATTAATGAACAGAGCCCCTTTTACGATTATTCGCCCGATGATTTACTTTTAAAGGATTTCGAAATTGTTGTACTTTTGGAAGGGATCGTTGAACCTACAGGAATGACAATGCAAGCAAGAACATCTTACGTGGGCGATGAAATTCACTGGGGACATTTGTTTGTTGACATCATGGAGTATAGAGACACGTCAATCGACGGTGGCTACTATGACATTGACATCTCGCGGTTTCACGAAACTTTTGAGGTGGAACTCCCGCGAGAGACTGCTAGAGAATTTTACAAGAGAAAACGTGAAGAGAATGATAGAGAACGTTCCCAGTCAAATTCGCAACAGCGTGAAATGAAGGAATTGGAAAACACCAACGAAACGGACGCAGCCCCGCGCAACGATCGCAGTGGGGTAGCCTTGATTCCTAACGGAGATGTGGGAAAGCAAGACGGAGTGACTAAATTATGACCACTTGTTTTGGGCTGGTAACTCATTCGTGAATGGAGTGAGATTGAAAAAAGCGAACAGTCCAGTCATAATTGAAAGCCCTGCTGTTTCCATAGGAAGCAACTCTTTTTTCAGCTCTACAAGAGTCCACCATTTGTATTCAAAACGCATAAAAAGTTCTACGGTTATTTAATCTTTTTTGTCCCTTGACAATTGATTGGTTTTCAAGCAGAGATCTTTTGATCTTCTCGATCAATTTTGGTCATGTTTTTTTTTTAATAGCTCCGTTGTACCTAATTGAGCAGCATTTAGTTTCCAACGCACATTTTTAAGTGGTCAAGCCTGTGTTTTGTATTAAGCCTTCTCACAATGTGCCGGAAAAATTGGATTTGCATTAACCTTTTTTTTTCAAACTGTTTAGTTTAAGAGTTGTTGACTCAGTTATGACGAAATACTCATTCTTGTTTTTCCAATGATTCCGTTATCGCTTATTACGAGTTACAAATAGGTTGGCTTTTAAAATTAAACGGAACATTTTTTAACATTTTCTGTGAAACAAAGGTGATCGATAAAAAGTGGTTTGTAACATTTTTAGTTTTTATTACGAAGACCAGATGGTTAAGTTCTGACGCATACAAATGTTTTGAAAAGAAAACAATTATTTTTGTCAAACAAACTGTTGTTGGAATATTTGAATGTTAATATGCGTGTCTTTTTCCGTCTTAAAGAGTAGTCCTTTTAGACCAAATGGTTTAGTGGTTTGTCGAAAACCAAACCGAGAAAAAAATTGTTTTTTAGTTTTGTTCTCGATATTTCTACTTGTTTGCAATCTCTGCCCGTTCGGCCTCGGGTGATATTTAGGCATTGTTTTGTAGTTTCCACACAAAAATAATTTACCTTCTCTATGCATTCCTTATTGGTAATAATAGGGCAATTTGCTGTCGGCGGATAGTCGATATTGGCAATCCTAAAGTCTCGTTATTTTTATGCAAACAAAAGTTCTTTTGACAGTGATCCTTAAACAGGCCTTCCGGCGATAATCCGAAGTTGCAAAGAGTTAGCCCCTTTGTGCCTCACAATTATCTCTGAATACCATTTAATTCTTTTAAACAGCGGTTTAACCTATGACTTGAAAGTGGTCGATCATAGAATGAGCACATCACGCGATTTTTTTAACCAAACGAACCGTGTGGCCAGTATCAAAATTGACTTCGCGTGATTTAACTCAAAATGCGATATTACATCATTCGCCCCAGCAGGAGTTTTCACGCGATCCAAGTGATTAAATATGTTAATATCTTCTCTAGTTGGTAGACAGAGATAGCTATGACGCTTTCATGAAGTTGTATTTCCTTAGAATATTGAAATTCTCCTATGATTCATTTGTAAAGACAGGCATGCTGCGGGCGCCTATAATTGTTGTTATGGACGAAACTACTCGTCAAGGACCTTGTATTGAAAAACACTTGTGCTGTACAAGCGGGGTAATAACACTTCGTTTCCAGGGAAACACAATAACAGATCGAGAAACAACACTTTCGAAACATCGGACTTAAAAGTTGCATCTAGCAACATCGGGATAACATGTTGAGACTCGTAACAAATCAAAACATGTCCGTCACGGTTCATTAACGACTACAATTGTCATGCAGGTTTATATCACCCTTCGAATGATACAGCTGCATGAATCATGAGTGCAATTTTTCATAATTGCCGTCATTGTCAGCTAAACCAACATAGCCAAAATTGTTTTCCTTTCACGAGTGTGACACGAACAATACACGCGTGACATTATGCCTCTCGATTACTCGCGCGGAATGCTATTCGTGGTTCTGTTACGTAAATCCGGGGCCGTCCACAATCGGCTTCTTTACATGCAAGTGCTTCAACATGTCTACACGTCTTAAAACATTTTTTTACTACCGGATGGTTGATCAGAACGAGGATGATCTAGCCATTGTTGACACTATTCTACCAATATGTGGTTATAATTTGTTTTGTTTTGTTTTTTATTCCGCTTTGACCTCCTTCACAGTTGGACGATGATTCACGTGAAACATTTAGCTTTATCACATGATCAACCACCACATCATATAATTGTCATAGGAAATAGTCAGGTTAAAGATAAAATAAACAATCAAATCGAGGGTTTTGGAAGTAAATGGAAGGGTGGTTGCCAAGGGGCATAATGTCCGAAAATATATCTGCGGTTCGTAGGAAGCAGGGTATTTATAATAGATAAAGGTGGTAAGTTTCTAGAGAAACTGTGGTGCTGCGTCGGTGGGAGAGTATAACAGGGTCATTTAGTGTTAGCCCCTTGTCAGCCCTTCGCTCTGACGAAGGGCTAACGATGGAAACGTCAGCCTTTTTAACTGTTAACGATAGCCAATTTACGTTATCAACTCAGTTGATAACACTAAATTACCCTATTCGTGATGGGGGTGTTTATTAAAATTTTCTACTCCTTGAAAATTTTATGATCACCGCATTGAACAATGTTTGTTTGCTGAATCTCCGCCAGAACTTTTTTCAACTAAAAGCCGACAAGCAAAAAGAAAAATGATCTCATGACTGCTAATCAGAGCAACTCAAACTGATCAAAGGAAACTAATGAATTCATGTAGGGGCGGACTAACACGAGTGTCTAAGTCGAGGGTGGTTTTAGTCACGTTAATTACACGTTAAATCGGTTGAAAAGGAGGGGCGGTTTCCAGATCAATCACGAAGCGAAGCAATCCGTTCTAACATCTAACACGAGAATAGACATGCTCCATGATCCACTGAGTCGTGCGCAGTCCGTCAGTATTGTTCAGTGGTCAGCAGACAACTTCGCAATAACTTCAAGTTCAGGCTTTCAATGCGGATAGTTCTAAAATAAAGAGCAAATTTCAAGGTAACCGCTAAATTTTCACCCAAACTCGCAGGTAACCGCTTAATTTTCACCCAAACTTGAAGGTAACCACTGAAAATCCACCCACAACTCACCTCCAAGGTAACTAAAGACAGTTGGTTCCAGTATGGGCATACGCACGAACCTGCAATGCTGGAATTTACCACGCAAATAGTAGGTTACCTACGAGAGTTAACGGACCCAAAAAGCTCGAAAAATAAGTACCTTAATCTGCTGCTTGCACTTTCAATTATCATGCATACTTAGGCGTAAATGCTCAACAACCTGAGAGAAATGCATGGAAAAGTCGAAATCATCTGTAAACACCAAAGAAAGCCTTGAGGCTAAGTTGCATTTTGACTGACATTAATTTGCAAGGGCAATCCTTCACATTCCAAGATGAGAAAATAAGTAAAAAAAGTTTAATCAATTTTAGACTGAATGTCTGGTCTGATTGTCTAGTGAAGACGAGAAAACGCTGCTACCAATCTCTCTACATTACTACTAGAACTGCGCGCGATGATAGCTTATGAGACAACTTTTTACGTATAAAACAACCTCCACCATTTGCTACTCTACAACAATCACTACACAATACTTGATGACGAGGTACAAATTTGCTTGGTACACAGACCTTTGTGACAAATGCTTTGCCTTTAAATAGTACAGGGTGACGTAGAAATCTTTCACAAAATGGTATGTAAACAGAACACCTTAATCAAATAAACTTTGCAGTCGAAAAGCCCTCAGTTGTCCTACTTCTTTCTTTTGTTTCCTTTGGTATTTTTCTAAGAACGATTCAATTTTTCCGCATATATTGAATAACAGCAATCTTCCGTTCCTAATGTTTTCCTTTTAAATCATACGCGGGAAATTGGTGTAAAGACTGACAAAAAAATAATCCAATTACACATGACCGACTTTGACCACTGCGGTCACTTTTTCTGAGCACTGATTCTTCCCAATATGAAGGAGAGAAAGCACTTCATGGACTGACAAAACACACGTTTCTAGGCCTCTTCCTGTTGTTTCTGCCTGTAATACTCTCTTGGCGAACACCTTCGCGTTTCAACCACATGTATGTCATTCAATCTAGAAAAATCGGCATGGTAGAAGCCTTTCTCACTGAATTGAGACTTCTCCAGAGTGTTACAGAAGTCATAGCCCCACAAGATTTCACTGCTGAGGTAAGAAGACTTAGGCTGTGTGTTCAGCCCGGTCGCTTCAACCACTCCATCCAGTACTACCACAACTTCGAAATCTGAGCGCTGGAGCATTTGAGGTGTGACGTCATAAAAGGGACTGTTCTCGTCAATTATGTGGATGACGACTAGAGGCAAGAGTAAAAACAGTTTATTCCTGAAGTCGTTGTCAGGGTCACGCCAATCGTAGCACACTTTAAGATCCTCTTGGTGAAACGGGATTTCTTTTCCTTCTTTAGTAGTATGAGTTCTGAATAGCTGCATTCGGACAGATGCGTCAACAATTTGACTCTTTCTCACGTCTCCAATTCGAAGCATCAGACACATTTTTCCATCTCTCGGGGCTATAACAGCATACTCCGAGAACATAACAGTCTTCCCCCGCTCTCGTGGTCTCGAGAGCTTGGCAAATGTCAGTCCTAGCATGAACGCGTCTATAAGTAATCCCACAAGGGTCTGAAGTTGCAGGACTATGACTGCCTCAGGGCATTTTGTTGTGATTGCTTTCTGCCCATAACCAATTGTTTCTTGAGTTTCAACAGAGAAAAGATAAGCAGCTGTAAAGCTTCTAACCTGTAAGAAGAAATTAAGTTTAGGTTTTTGAAAGCATTTAAAAATTCACTCTACTTTTTTCATAAGTCTCTATTCACTAATACCACCTTTTAACCCATTAACTTCCATAAGTGACCAAGAAAGATTTTCTCCTTACAATATCAATACAATATTACGCAGAAAAGTGATGAGAATAAAGAAAAAGATCAATTTGGGGATAATTAGTTGACCCAAAACTAACTTCTCTGAACAAACATTATAAGAATTGTATGATTGACAATAAGGAGAAGTACAAATTTGATCTGGGAGTTAAAGGGTTAACCACTTAGAGACGCTGTTCTTGAGAATATAAACAATATATTCAATTCAAATAAACTGTATGAAAGGGAGTAAATTTGGTGAAATAATAAAGGAAAATGTTTCTTCTTCTGGTCACAACTGTGGAACAAAGAAAAACCTACGACTCCCTGTGAGGGATGAGCCCCAGACCTCCAGATTCTGCTCCCCTGTGCTTTACTACTGAGCCGCAGAGAACTATGTGAGTTACTAAGCCACTCTGAGGGTTATATGTCACACACATCTTGCATACACTAATGCTATGATTGGAATTTTTGAAAGCTTTGCGAGCATGAGTAAGAATAAAAAAAAGGTGGTAATTTGATTAAAATCCCAATTGACAGCAGAGGAGTTAATTCCTGTGCTTTAAAGGAAAAAATCAGATTGAGTGTCCAGTTGAAGGATTTAATCATAGAGGCTGTGAAATTCTGATCCAGCTCCCTTTAGAATATATTCATGATTACATACATCTCAGGCAATCACCATCATTTGGCCAAGTAACATTTTTCATATAAAAATAATTTTAAAATATGCCCATAACTGAGTTTTTCTAAACATATCTTGGACAATAGATATCTAAGGTGCAACACAGATACAGAGATCTTCAAAAGAAACAACAGTAAAAGCACCCCTTGAGTCGAGTACTTTCCAGGACAGTGCCTCTGATGTTTTTCATTCATTACCCTCTGCTACAAGAAACTCTGTAGTTTTTGGTGATGTTAAAACTAAAGTGAGGAAGTATCTTATAGATAGGGCAAATGTACATTTGATTTCTTGATTTGTATACATTCTGGATTACTTAATTTTTTATTTATTTATTATAAACAAATAAATAATTATTTATTTTTTAATATTAATGTAAATTTTTACAAATGAAGAGCCACCTTTCAGTGGAAATACTGTAATAAAGTTATTATTATTATTATTATTATTATTATTAGAAATTCAAAGATTTAAGCCATGCAATTTTAATCCAGCTCCAAAAACCACAATCACAACTTTTCCTCAAACAATTTGTCGACTATTTATGATAACAAATGACAATAACCATCATAATTGTGTAACCAACTTATTTTGAACACATGCTGAAAAATTTTTAAAACCTAATAATTTGCTGGCTTTCTTTCTTTTGCACCATTATCATAACAAAGGAGAGAAACTCTAGAAAAAAGGTTAAAAAATTGTTGGAAAAGTTTCTTCCTCTTCCATTCCTATTTGTTGCAGAAATTGTCCGTGGAAAATTCCAATGAAGAATGGGGGTGCAAGGAAATTTTTTTTGGCAGAAAACAAATTGACCTGGAATCTGAGGTAGGTAGGTCTTTATAATTAACTGCTGTCAACATAAGTTGAGAATATTTGCCTTTTTGTACAGTTTTTTAGACTGAGTGCGGTAAAACCAGAACCAAAGCACTCATAATAGCCCATCAGAACTGAGGAAATATATCATGGCACCCATCAAAACTTGAAGTAAAAACAAGCAAACCACCTAAAGCGTGGGGAAAAAAAAATGACAGAATTGCACTTGGCTGAAGCTTTGAATCTGATTGGTTGATAGAAGGGCACAAATTTCTTGGACCATTCACAGGGCACACAGCATTCACAGCAATCCCAATCCCAAATTACTCATGACCTCAATTGCCTAAGATAAAACTAGCAATGCCTGTTCAATGATTTTGTTAACTTGGTTATTGTCCTTGAGAGGTTGGCTTGCTGCTTTGGTGATTAAATACTTAAAACTATGAATGAGTAGCAGAGTAACTTGAGACAAGAAAATTCCACTCAATTTTGGTGAAGTTAGGAAAAGCTCTAAACTCACTGAAAACTGGCTTGAGACTTTTGCTGTGATAGGTAAAGGCAGTTGGCAGTTTTAAAAGAAAAAGCCCCATAAAAATAGCATGGCAGAAAATAACTTACAGAACTTGTTTGAAATCGAGACTTAGGCCCACCCCTTCTTCGACAGAAGAGCCTCCTGTCCAACCCAATCCCCCTCCCCCCTCTCCCCTCCCGTTGTCAAAAAAATAATACAAAGCGATGGATATAACCATGTTCTTCATGTTATTATTGTGACTGTCATGGGTGACTAGATCTAACGGAAAACTTGAACAATTGTGCTTAACATACCTTCTCAATGCAGATTGTTGAGCCCCTCACATACGCTATCAGCCACCAAATGAAACCAAAAACAACCCACGAGATGATGTAGCTGGCTATAAATATAAATATGACCCATTTCCAGCGCAAATCTATCATAGTCGTAAATATGTCTGCAAGATAAAGTCTTGTTTTACGAGGAACATTCTTTGCAAGAACTTTCAGCTCACCAGACTTGTTGACTAAACGGCGTTTGTCGGTATCCAGCAAAATTTTGCCTTCAGTTTCACCGCGAAGCGAAGCGGAGTTGATCGGCGAGGCAGATGTAGGAACGCCAGTGTGTTCTTCGAGTACAGCACGAGTTCCGACGTTAACTGTAGTTGTGGGCTCTGTTTCCTCGTCTCGATCACTTTGGAAGCTGTCATTCACAAGATATTCTTTAGACATGCCAGGATCCATGTCTTGTTTGGAGGTGACCCTTCACATAAAAACCTTGTGCACACTAGGAAGTAAAATGTTGCGTACGACTGGAACAAGTTTATTTTCCGTGTGGAGAGAGGGCATGGGTCGAGTGAATTGATCATCTGCATAAAAAGTGTGAGTTCCGCGAATTTTAATTTTTTACGACATTATGGATCAAACACTTACAAATATGGAAATTAAGAGGACCTAAATCTCAGACGATCTTAGCCATTGTACTGTGCAGCGTTGGCATTCGTAACTTTAGCACCACCGGCTGAGCTGTTGATTATTAAAAACGCAAACTAATTGCACAAATAATTAAAGGCGGACCAGATGAAAGCGGGCTAGTTAATTAAACGCGAACTACTTAAATGCGGGTTAGTTAAATGCGAACTAGTTAAGCGCAGACATGTTAAACGTAGGTTAGTTAAACACAGACTAGTTAAACGCGGACCAGTCGAACGCAGAGTAGTTATACTCAGAATAGTTAAATGCGGACAAGTTGAACGCGAACTAGTTAAGCACGGACCGGTTAAACAGAGACTAGTTAAATATGGACTAGTGAAACGCGGACAAGTGAAACGTGGACTAGTTACACAAGGACAAATGAAACGCGGACTAGTTAAGCGCAGACTAGTTAAACGCAGACTAGTTAAATGCAGACTAGTTAAACGCGGACCAGTAAAACGCAGACTAGTAAAATGAAGACCAGTTGAACGCGGGGTAGTTAACCCTTCAACTCCCATAAGTGATCAACGTGAAACTCCTTCCTATAGAAGAATGGTAAAATGTGGACAGGTTGAACGCGAACCAGTCAAACGGGAACTAGTTGAACGTGGACTATTGAAACGTGGAACAGTTAAACGCGGATTACATTAGTAAACACGGACTAGTGAAACGGGGGCTAGTTAAACGCGGATCACTTAAACGCGGACTAGTTAAACGCGAAGTAGTTAAACGCGGACTAGTTAAACGCGAAGTGTTTTAACGGTCTCCAGTGTTACCAGGAGTCTACTGAAATTAAAAAGAACTGCCTCTGGTCCAGATGGAATCCCGTACTGGTTTTGGAAAGAGTTTGCGTACGACCTCGCTCCTGTTGTTACCCATATTTTCAACTGTTCTTTGGAAAATCACATTGTGCCTGATCTTTGGAAATTGGCCGACATAACTCCCTTGCCTAAAGAGCCCAACTTTAAAAATTGCACACAGTTGCGGCCTATTTCGCTGACTAATGTAATAATGAGGGTTTTTGAACGTCTTGTATACAGACAAGAATTATCTCAATATATGAAGAACTTCATTAGCTTCGACCAGTTTGCATACCGCAAAGGCCACAATACGACAATGGCCTTAATTAAGTGTCAATATGCTTGGCTGAAATGGCTTGAGTCGGGTTTTGATTGTGTTAGAATCTTCTCTTTTGATTTCAGCAAAGCTTTTGATTCGGTCCCTCATGATATCCTCTGCTCTAAGTTGAAAACACTTGATATAAATCCATACGTGACCAATTGGATTATTAGTTTTTACAGAACAGGAAACAAAGAGTTGTTGTTGATGCCATTGTCACGGACTATGTAAATATCAATAGAGGTGTCCCTCAGGGGACAGTTTTAGGCCCTATACTATTTTCTATTATGGTCAATGATATTAAGGCCATTCTACCAAATCAGAATTTACTTGTGAAATATGCTGATGATTTAACATTAAGTATTCCAGTAAAATCGCTGGCTAATAACGGCAATTTAGCAGCTGAGGAGGTCCGATCGATCGTCGCATGGACATCTGCTAATCGTATGCAACTAAACTTCAAGAAAACGTGGGAGATGCTTCTTAGAGGCAAATCCAAATCCACTAAGGCCTTACCTGCTCCTCTGGTTTCTATAGAGCGTAAACCATGTCTGAAGTTGTTGGGTGTAACTTTTCAATCTGATCCGTGTAACTGGGACTTACATTTTGATAATATTATATCGAAAGCCAGTAGTCGTCTGTACATCTTACGTGTTTGTAAATTCTATGGACTGCCGCTGGATCATCTTCATCTTCTCTTTATCAGTCTTATTCTACCTATATTTACATATGCTGTAGAAGTATGGGGCTGCGCGTATTATCATAAGTATCTGAGTCGCATAGACAGGCTGTTCAAGAGAGCTTTTAAGCTTGGCTACTGTAAAGAGCTTCTTTCGATTGAAAATATTATCATTCTAAAAGATAAGAAGTTGTGGGCCAAGATCACCGACAGCGATTTTCCAACAGCTTTAGATGACCTTTTGCCACCAGAGCGAACAATGGATACGCTACGTAAGAGGCGCCATAATTATATTCTCCCGCTTGTCAGAACTGAACGTTTCAAAAGGACCTTTATTAATAGATGTTTGTTCTCTTATTAGTTATTCAGTTAGTAATTTAGTTAGTTTATTAGTTTTATACTTGCTGATTTCATATCATTGTAACTAAACACGTTTGTTGTTTAGAGTGCTTAATAAAGACTTATTATTATTAGTTAAACGCGGACTAGTTAAACGCGAAGTAGTTAAACGCGGACTAGTTAAACGCAGACTAGCAAAATGCAGACCAGTTGAACGCGGAGTAGTTAGACGGAGAATAATAAAATGAGGACCAGTTGAATGCGAAGTAGTTAAACACGGACTGGTTAAACGTGGACTAGTTTAACGCGAACTAGTAAAACGTGGACTAGTCTAACGCGGACTATTGAAACGCGGACTGTAAGTTAATTTGTTAGTCCAGGAAGAGTAAATCTCCCTGGTAATGGGTCGCGTTCGACACCTTCTTGTACCCAGAGGTAATTTAAGGTGTAAACAGGTGATACCCCTCATGTTCCGTAACCGAAAGCAAATTTGGGGGCGGTACTTGTGAGCGCCTTTCTTCTTTGACTCTTGTGATCAAGATGTTGTTATGTAACAATCTTTAAAGGTGATTTTCTCTTAAGATACCCTTTCAGGTATAAATAATACTCTGAACTAAGGTTATTTGCAATTTTTATATTGTCGATCTCGTTTCTGTTCTGGCCGATCTCAATCGTAAAGATATGAAAATTAAGGTAAAAATTGATTGATTGACTGAACGAACATTAGAGAGAACTCAAAGAAAAACCAGGAGAAACCAGGCTACCAAAAGAAAAGCCAGGAAATCAAAGCAAAATCGCAAAACCACCAGCCTGGACTAACAAATTAACTTATTTAAGAACATGGCTTATCACGAGTTCCATGTCAACCTCACGATCACAACGAAGAAAACGTGATTAAACTCACTAGGAGAACGTGGCCAAACTCACAAGAAGAACGTGATCAAACTCAACCTTTAAGATAAGACCACCAAGAAGGAGTACGAAGTAATCAACCTGCTCTTTTTATAACTTACATTAAATGACTTAAAATAATATAATATTTCCATTCCTTTTCTTTCCGACACCAATACAGGAAACCCTTACGATATTGTAGATTAACTATAATTGTAATTTTATCATTTAACACTAGTCCACATTTTACTTGTCCGCATTTAACTAGTCCGCGTTTAACCAGTCCACATTTTACTAGTCCGTGTTTAACCAGTCCACATTTTACTAGTCCACATTTAACAGTCCGTGTTTAACTAGTTTGCGTTTAACTGGTCCGCGTTAAACTAGTCCACACTTTACTAGTCCGCATTATACTAGTCCGTGTTTTACTAGTCCTCATTTTACCAGTCCGCGTTTAACTAGTCCGCTTTTAACAAGTGTGCGTTTAATAGGGCCACGATTAACTAGTCTGCGTTTAACTAGTCCGCATATAACTAGTTCGCATTTAGCTATTCTGCGTTTAACTAGTCCGCGCTTAACTAGTCCTTGGCTGGTCCACGTTTAACTGGTCCGTGTTTAGCCAGTCCGCGTTTCAATAGTCCGCGTTAGACTATTCCACGTTTCACTAGTTCGCGTTAAACTAGTCCACATTTAATCAGTCCGTGTTTAACTACTTCGCGTTCAACTGGTCCTCATTTTATTATTCTGCGTCTAACTATTCCGCGTTCAACTGGTCTGCATTTTGCTAGTCTGCGTTTAACTAGTCCGCGTTTAACTACTTCGCGTTTAACTAGTCTGCGTTTAGCTACTTCGCGTTTAACTAGTCTGCGTTTAAGCCGGATCCGCCTTTAGCTAGTCCCCGTTTCACTAGTCCGTGTTTACTAATGTAATCCAAGTTTAACTGTTCCACGTTTCAATAGTCCACGTTCAACTGGTTCCCGTTTGACTGGTTCGCGTTCAACCTGTCCACATTTTACCATTCTTCTATAGGAAGAAGTTTCACGTTGATCACTTATGGGAGTTGAAGGGTTAACTACCCCGCGTTCAACCGGTCTTCATTTTTGCGATTTTGCTTTGATTTCCCGGCTTTTCTTTTGGTAGCCTGGTTTCTCCTGGTTTTTCTTTGAGTTCTCTCTAATGTTCGTTCAGTTTTCTCTAATGGCAAACAAAATGGAAACGTCTATATGCCACGCGCACGTCGAGGTTCTTGCCCTCTAAAACGTTCGTACTGGAACTGTAAGTTTTAAAGAAGCACTTGTGGGAAAGAGCGCGGGCAGCGAGGAGGTTGTTGATAAGCCCGAGGTCCTACACCAGCTTGTTAGAAGTAAATTCTCTAACACTCGTTGTTGGTTTGGTTGATTCTTCTTTAATTTCTTTTCTTCTCAAGTTGATACAACGGGGACTAGCTTCGATATCCAGGGAAAACTAGAGTCTCCACTTATCAAGGTGACACTGCGGATGATATTTCTAAGCCGTCAACCTTCTTGTGTCGTCATCGTACCATCTCAACTAGCGAATCACGCTTGACTACGTATTATAGTTCCCACATACTGAGTATGCACCTTAGGGTTGTTTACACAGTTACAAAATCAATCTCTACCTTAATTTTCATATCTTTACGGTTGAGTTCGGCCAGAACAGAAACGAGATCGACAATAAAAAAATTACAAATAACCTTAGTTCAGAGTATTATTTATACCTTGAAGGATATCTTAAGAGAAAATCACCTTTAAAGATTGTTACATAACAACATCTTGGTCACAAGAGTTAAAGAAGAAAGGCGCTCACAAGTACCGCCCCCAAATTTGCTTTCGGTCGGTTGCGGAACATGAGGGGTATCACCTGTTTACACCTTAAATTACCTCTGGGAACAAGAAGGTGTCGAACGCGACCTATTACCAGGGAGATTTTCCCATCCTGGACTAACTAATTAACTTATTTAAGAACATGGCTTATCACGAGTTCCATGTCAACCTCACGATCACAACGAAGAAAACGTGATTAAACTCACTAGGAGAACGTGGCCAAACTCACAAGAAGAACGTGATCAAACTCAACCTTTAAGATAAGACCACCAAGAAGGAGTACGAAGTAATCAACCTGCCCTTTTTATAACTTACATAAAATGACTTAAAATAATACAATATTTCCATTCCTTTTCTTTCCGACACCATTACAGGAAACCCTTACGATATTGTAGATTAACTATAATTGTAATTTTATCATTTAACACTAGTTAAATGCGGACAAGTAAAATGTGGACTGGTTAAACGCAGACTAGTTAAACGCAAGCTAGTTAAACGCGGACTTGTAAAATGTGGACTAGTAAAGTGTGGACTGGTTAAACATGGACCATTTAAACGTAAACTAGTTAAACACGGACTAGTTAAATGCGGACTTGTAAAGTGCAGACCAGTTAAACGCGGACTAGTTAAACGTAAACTAGTTACACGCGGACTAGTAAAATGTGGACTAGTTAAACATGGACTTGTTTAATGCGGACTCTTTGCACTAGAATTCGGTACTAACAAGGCCTTCTTATAACATTCCTCGCAACCAGCTACAATAGCCATGACAAGGAATCTGTTGCACTTTAAGCCCTCTACCAGACAGGTGTTACAAGCTCTAAAAGAAGGTATGTGCGAGGTGTGGTCCTTTTCCATGCAATTTGCGCACACAGACTTAATTGCTAAACAGTCATTACAGCTAATTAAACATGGAGATTTACAAGACAACTCCTTTAGACCAAGGAACTAAATAAGTTTCTTTTTCAGCGCCAGTACGGTGTCTACATCATTAACAGGAATGCGGCTTCTGCGACGCTCAAATGCCGTTGCCGAATCAATTCGATAAAAGCTTACAACTGCTTTTAAAATACCAGCATTGACGGCCATCGCGTAAGTTGATGATCGAGTCGGGTTTCAAAGATCATATAACGGTGACATATGACCTTGATATGGATGGTTCATGCGTCCATTACTAACGAAATATGACACTCTCGCGTACTCCTACCGGTATGTGATAAAAAACGTACTTTTATTGGACAGAGTAAATCAACTGTCCTTATTTTACATCCAGTTTTTAGGATATTTAGGGTGATCCGGTCATTTGTCAACTGTCAGTAAAAGTCCACCACAAATGTTAGTTGTCGGTTAGATTTTCAGCGATTTGTCAGTTGTCAGTTGTCAGTTAAAATTTTGGCCATTTGTCAGTTGTCAGTTAACCCCATCCAGACCCTCTTATATCAATCACCTCAATATTGCATTTAAAGGAGAGAAAGATGAGAAAGTGAGGGTGGTGAAGGCACATATTGGCAGTAAGATTTTGACTTCTATTGTGCAGGACACTCAGAACAACATTCAGCCGGCATCTGACTCAAATTCAGAGTCTGAAAGTGACAGCGACATGGTAGGGTGCATTGTTGGATCTGGTGGTAAATCTTCAGAACTAAATGAGTCAGGAGATCAGACAGCGGATAGTCAACAGGAGCAAGAAGCTGAAGAAGCGATACTTGAGTCTAGTACGTCTCGATACGGACGGAAAAGAACACGAGTCCTCCGAGAAAACTATGTGGCATGGCATAATATAAATGGAGAACTGTAATCTGGAACCTATAATAAAACACCAAATTAAATCAAAGTAGGTGAAAAGAAAAACTTAAGCTGTGAGAAAAATGGAAAGCAACATCACAGAAATCCTCATTCAAAAAATTCTGGAAAAGGTGTGTGACCCTCCGCTTGAATAGCTAACAAAGAGGTATGACCCTCCCCTGACGACCCTCCCCTCTGGGGCCCCAGCCCTCCCCTACCATGAAAAAACGCACCTTCCCTTATGACCTAAAAAAACGACTGTTTTTGTGTTTGAGCGTACCATCCTTCAAGGGTAGCATAGGAGAAACTCAAGGGTTCGCGTACATTTTATTTAATATGGGAAATTCTCCATCCCGCGTTTATCTTGATAGTGATGTGTCACCAATGAGGATTACTTCTCCGCTAGTCACCGCCGCTAGTAATGGCTGCCTAGATTCTGTGAAGGAGATTCTCGTACGAACTGAAGAAAACATCGAAGCTCGTGGAACACTTACAATTGAAGGCGAAATTGTCGAGTTTTGTTCACCGTTGTTCGCCGCTGCTGCTGGAGGCCATCTTGATGTTGTAAAACTGCTGATCGAACGCGATGCAGACGTTAACGCCAGAACAAAGACGATTAAACTCTATGACTATTGCGATGATCGAACTCCTCTGATGATGGCATGTCATGGTGGCTACCTGGATGTCGCTTCTTATCTCATTGAACATGGTGCAGATATAGATCTACAAGACTCAATTCAAGACACTTGTCTTCACTATGCTGCTAGAATGGGACACGTTGAGATAGTTGACAAACTTCTTTCTGTAGGTGCGGAACAAAAACAAAATGATATTGGTGTGAGGCCACTATTTGAAAGCTGTGTTCATTGTAGAATTGAAGTGGTGGAGTATTATATCAGAAGACCGGACTGTTCAAAGGAGCAAAGAATTGATGCTCTGGAACTTCTGGGTGCCTGCATTGCTAAGGATGATGTTGCTTATGACACTGAAAAAGCATTAACTTTCATGGAACGTGGGATGGATGAGAGGTTTGTTTGAATATTTTTCCGACACACTTTTTACAGTTGATACTTTCTTTATTCCTTTCTATTACACAATTTACTGCCCTAGGAACTAGCTGACAGATCTGAGTGAAAATGCTGGTCACCAGCTAATAAAGGCGACAATAAGCAAGCTGTAAATAATTTGACCAACATTACTATTCCTCGCTTTACTGGCGAATCAAGTCAAGTTATGGGAAACAGTTCCTGCATACTAAATGTATACCTTCGATTTGTTGACTCTTTTCAAAACGACATTATAGTGTATGCCGGGATATGCAAAGACGATTATGGAATATAGCTAGGAGAGAGTACGTGAGTCGAGAAATTTAGGATGGCGATGCCTTGTTCGGTTGTTGTAATCCGGTTCAATCAGTAGGTTGAATGCGTATATTGAGACTATACAGACATTCTACCTAAAATTCCATACGTTTGCGGATAAGATCGGCCAAAACTAAAACGAGATTGACAGTATAAAAATTCTAATGATCTTATTGACAGAATTAGAATCATATTTTAAAAGATATCCTGAGAGAAAATAGCCTTCCAAGACTGTTACTAAACGACAGAATAAACAGAAAATTTGGAGAAGAAAGGGTGTGTCCAAGGTAGCGCCGCTAAAAGAGATAAGTGCTGTTCGTACAAGTTACCTGATTATAAATTCAGTGCAGAAGATAAAAAGTACCAGTTGTTTATACCTAAAGTCACTTTTAAAGAAAGAGGTATTGAATGCCCTAAATTAAAAAGTGCTGTTCGAAAACAAAAAAATCAAAGGGGTTTAATATATGAGAGGGTTACCTGATTATAAATTCATTTTTGCAGAAGTCATTTTCTTTATAAAAAGATAAATATTTAACCACAAATTGTTGTTTATTTAGAAACATCTGTCTCCACATCAAATTCACGACCACAATAAGAACAGGTGACAGAAATTCCACCTGTAAGATAAGACCACCAAAAGGATAAGAAGACCGCCAAAAGGAATAGGAAATGATCAACTTGCCTATTATAACTTTTTTACTGAATGGCTCATGGTAATAAATTATTTTAATTAATTTTCCCAACACCAATATATGGAAACCCTAACAATGTTTTCAGATTAGTTACATATCTATTTTTATATTTTAAAAGGTTTGAGGACCCTGCACATCCATTGTTAAAAGAGATGTGGATATTTAGTGAAGAGAGTCAAACTCCCAAGGAACTTGTTCTGCAGTTAACTGGGAATAATGAAGCCATCAAAATGGAAGGAATGTCCATCATGGCGAGACTCCTGGGATCTATGGATTTATCTCAGTCCAAAACAAGGTACCGGAGAACTGTTTCAGCTGACCCTAAGGGCTCACGTTCCTCTCGTTGGAGGAGGTTCTTGGATAAAACCTGGAAATTTTTTGAGAGTCTCAGCTGTACGATGGTGAATGTGGATGATTTCATATACATATGTGAATTACAGCTGCAAGAAGGTGAATTTTTACCATCAGAGAACATCAGAGAGTTGTTTGAAAAAGTTGTAGCAAGAAGAGAGACAATCATAAGGGAATTGGGAACAGGGACTGAAAATGAGGAACTTGAAAAAATGCTTTATCAAGCCCTGTATCTTCTAATGTTGTACTCCAAAAGTCATGTTTCAGAACAGAATGATCATGAAACTGCAGCTATGACTGACCTTCTTTCAAGACTTTTGTGTTCAAACCCTTGTACCTGGAATGGGAATACGTTACTGCACTTGGCTGCGTGGCATGGAACTCCTTTTATAGTATGTAGCTCATATGATCGTGAGCACAGAATGTGCGGCGGAATGTTCAAGCCTCCCTGTCTTGAGACCATGAGGCTAATTTTACATGCAGGTTGTGATGTGAATGCCATGAACATTGAGGGAAATACTCCTCTACATTTAGCTGTTACTTTTAAGCCAGGACCAGGACAAGAAGATGTTTTGAAAGAGACACTGGACTTGTTGTTGCTGTTCGGTGCAGACACAAAGCTTGAAAACAACAGTGGTCGAATGGCAATGGACTGCTGTGAGACTGACGAGGCCCAAAGGATCCTGAGTGCCATGGACATTGATGTCAGAAATGTAAGAAAATTTTAATTTTAAGTTATGATTCTTTAAAATCATCACAGTGACCAATTCATTTACTACATCATGCCTGTCTGCCTATCTACTGCTTTGATGATTTTTGAACCATCTTGATGTAGTACAATCCATTGTAATGTTGTGACAGCCTAAAGGAGCTATTTGAAGATCAGTTTGTGTTTTTGGAATGTCATTTGACTGAAACTTATCCAGGTAACTTGTTTACATGCATTTGTTATGGCACGACTAGTAACACTGATCAGGTTTCATGCTGGAGATTTACTGAAAACTGATACCTGCAAGTAGATGATATTTTCAGGTTTTGTCACGCGTGATGTAAAAGTCACCCCTTGCTTTAAACGTAGGCATGTAACACATGGTAACATAAATGCAAAAGTAATTTTTCAGGATTGATTGGGTAAGGGAGCTAGGGACTATTAGACATCTCTTTTTGACAGGTCACTCGTTTCCATTATGTATATACATGCTTTTCAGATCTCACATATACCGGTAGCATTTTCACTTTCCCAATGGTGTGGTACCACTTTTGATCATCAGACTACAATTTTTTACTGGAGCTTCCATAGCGACCCTAACATGCAACCCTTCTTGCAACCAACTAAGCGACAAAGTGAAATTATAACATAGCTAGTAAATTTGTCCAATCAAATTCAATTGTGCAAGCATGCTTCATATTCCTATTGTGCATGCTCATGACATCAGCAAGCAAATCTCTCAAGAAAAAAATTTTCCATTGGGTTGAAAATGTTATAAAACAATCGGTTCATACATCAGCTACGCCTCGAGCAACTCTTACGCATCTTTTGTGCACTCAAAACTTCCTGCATGCTTCATATCTCGATGAACACACACTAACGTATGAACAAATTGTTAATCAACGTCTGCACTATGTTTTCATGTAGCTTTGTTTTGGTCTTTTTCAGTGCCATAAAACTCATTTGAAATGTTGAAAGGCATCAAGGTGAAAAATGTTTGGAGTTAATACTTCAATTGTGTCTAGCCTTGTTTTTTTAAAAAAAAAATTACTAAAAAAGTTTGAAAGCTCATCAATCAAGACTCAACTCAAGGCTCAAACTAGTGATGGTCAAAGCTCTGAGACAGGAAAGAAATTGATTTGAAACTTACAGTAATGGTTGCGACATTGTGCATAGCGTTTAACAAGTATGATGTGTGTAGTCTGTACAATTATACTTTTAAAATTGCTTTGGTTTCCTCTAAGTGGGTATATCTTCTCCCTTTTCACTAAGGATGAAATGCTTGCAAGCGGAAGTGGCAAAGAAATAGACAAGGGATTTCATATAGGAAGGCAAAACGACCTAAACCAGAACTATCAAGAAGAGACTGAGAGGCTAAGATCAACAAGCTCTGGTGGTAAGCTATAAGGGTGTCATCTTTAGGTGATTAAGCAAAATGCAATTTATAAATGGATGGGCAGCTTCCCCATGGTACATGGGGAAAGACATAAAAGTAAATGCTGTATTTGAACTGTTGTCAGCAACGGAAAGAATGCATCAGTCGACTGTCATGAAAAAAGAAGGAAAAAATTTATCTTTAACTGGCAAAGCAATAGATTTGTAATTTCATTTATTAACATGAGGCCAGACCATGGATATAACCAGAGAGGGGGTGACAAGAAACTAAAATGATTTAAAACAACCAGTTAAAACACCAAGTAACATTGAGTACTTATTCTTGGTATGTCAAGCCTAAAAATAAAATGAATTCAGAGGGATTTTATGAAAATAAGACAACTATGAATATTCTGTTTTTAAGATAGATTTTCTCTCGGTATAACAGTTAACCTCAGAATGAAAATGGTTATTTTCATTTCTCTAAGAACAATTGAGGAAGTTGAGACGAAATATGAAATATGTCCAAGGGCAACTAAGAGAAAGAGGTGGAAAACTGAGGGAGATGACAAAGCAGTTGACAGATGTCAAATGGCAGTTACGAACAAGGGATGCAGAATTGAGAGGGATAAGTAAAGATGTGGAAAATGGTGCAGAGCAGGTACAAAAGAGAGATGAACAACTGACAGAGATGATACAGCAGCTAAAAAATGTTGAAGGGCAGCTACAAGAGAGAGATGGACAACTGACAGAGAGGACACAGCAATTGACAAATGTTGAAGGGCAGCTACAAGAGAGAGATGAAAAACTGACAGAAGTAACACAGCAATTAACAAATGTTGAGGGGCAGCTACGAGAGAGAGATGGACAACTGACAGAGAGGACACAGCAATTGACAAATGTTGAAGGGCAGCTACAAGAGAGAGATGAACAACTGACAGAAGTAACACAGCAATTAACAAATGTTGAAGGGCAGCTACGAGAGAGAGATGAACAAATGAGAGAAATGAAACAGCGGTTGACAAGTATGGAAAGACAATTAGAAGAGAGAGATGGAGAACTGACAGAGAAGACTCAGACTTTCACAAATGTTGAAGGGCAGCTACAAGAAAAAGATGAACAACTGAGAGAGATGAGAAAGCAATTGAAAAATTTTGAAGGGCAGCCACAAGAGAGAGATGGACAACTGACAGAGGTGACAGAGCAGTTGAGTAATGTCTAAGGGGAATTACAAGCAGAGGCTGACAAAGCTAAAGATTTACAGGACTTAGCTGACAGCTTAGAAAAACAACTGAATGACCATCCCTACTCAACTAGCCAGAGGAAGGAACTTTAGTCTATTTGTAAGATGAAATCAAATCATCTTCTTTAACACGTGTCAATTAATCTATCATTCAAAAATTAAATCCTTTTAGATGATGAAAAATTGCACAAATTACAAGGAAGCCATACCTCTCTTCATAAAAATAAGTAACCTCACAAAACATAATTTTCTGAGGTCTAAAAATTATCATGTAACTTTATCATACACAATGTATATATATGTGTCAATAGGAAGTCTATGTTTCGATTTTTCCATATTACAGTGCTCAATATGTAGTAGCAGAGTGTGATCTGAATCGAGTTAGGAAAAAACAAAGAGACTACGCTTCATCCTGTAGTCCAGTAAAACACTACTAGTATCTGGAAGGCACAGGTTGGAATCCAGACAAAGCCTGAATTTTTTCAGGCTTTTTTTCTATGATTTCCCCAGTTGCAGCTCACTTGCACAGATCATCTCTTTGCTTGTATTTCAGGTCAAGTTAAAGTGTGATTTATTTCATATCACTAATATCATCATAGAAATACCATTGCAGGGTTTTCATTAAGAGATACAGAAACTTGAGAAAAGTTTATTAGTAAGTAACAGGATAATTTTTTCCAGGTCTTGAAAATAACAACTTAGGTCATCAAAATTTAGCCAGAGAATCCTGAGTAGTAGCCAGTCAATTTTTCTGATCTACTATGCATAAAGAACACCTTTCCATTCTTCAGTGGAAGGCCTTATTGTCTTACATATCTATCCTACATTTACATGACAAGGATCAAAGTAAGTGTATTTCAGGCCAACAAGCAGTGAAGGTTCACATAGGTTCTGCCACATCCAGACACAACTCTTGCACAATTGTTTTGTTCACTTGCTTGAGTCTAACAGGCTTTGCTACCCATTACTTAGGGATAGACCAAAGAGGAGGATAATTCTCAAGTTTCAAGATTTTTTCTTCAATATTTTGAAGGTAGAAATTCTACTTAATAATTATGAATTGTATTAGTTTTCTCTTGTACTATTTTGCATGTGCCTTGACCAACCAGCCAATTAGATTTAAAACTAACTCTAATTGCTGCTTGGTCTCTACTGTTTAGTGCATTTCAAGCAGTTTGCCAGTTTTTACTTTTAGTTCTTACTGTCAATAATGATGTCAATCTTTCTCTTATTGGCATATGTGATAACTTTGGTTTCAGTTTTTTGACTCTCAAGGGCAAAACTTCTCCAAATCATCATTTATAAACAAGGGGAAGATCAATTTAGATAAGCAAGAAAATCCCACTTGCAGATTAATTCCCCATGGTTTGATAGATAAATATTTTGTCTTATCTCATCCATCATATAATCTAAAGAAGGTGTTAATAGTGACTGCTTTTTGTTAAATATAAACTCTTCATCAGCCAACTGGGGGTAGAACATCCAACTGACAACAACTATTCTCTTGACTCTGAAATTGACTTCCACTCAGGTTGTCGAAATGTCAGTCACCACTACCAACAACAGTCCTTCTCAGGACTACACTCACCCAGACAATCAGACTACACAATCACAGCTCTCTCTTTGTTGACGAGGTAAATTGCTTTCAAAAACCTCCCTACATTATGCACCATAACTTTTTAACAATGGTGCGTTTGGATCAATGCAACAAGCCACAGCAACATTCCCTGGTGAAGCAATTTTGTTTAGTATTTTCAAACTTGGTTATGGCTAAGAAACTCAGCATTATCCTAATAAAAAGCACAAATTTAATGCTGCATTTCGTAAAATTCTTTGGGAGAGCACAATTGCATTTCAACATTGCGGATCTCATTAAACTTGGAAAAATCTACAAAGTATTTGCCATTTTCAATAAAGTCTTGACCAATGACATTCAAGAAGTCATAACCCCACAAGATTTCATCACTGGTGTATGATGTCTTGGGCTGGGTGTTCATTCCCGTATGTTCAACTATTCCATCCAAAACTACAACAATCTCATAATCTGATTCCTTAAGCTGATCAGGTGTAATCTCAAAAAAGGGACTTTTTTCATCAATGACATGAATTATCACCATAGGAAGCAAAAGAAATAACTCATTCCTGAAGTCGTTTGCAGGGTTTTGCCAGTCATAGCACACTCTAAGATCCTCCTGATAAAATGGGATTTCTTTTCCTTCAGAGGTTGTCCACTTCCGAAATAATTGCATTCTTATTGAAGCATCAACAATTTGGCTTTTGCGAATATCTCCAACCCTGAACATCAAACACAGTTTCCCATCCCTGGGCGCAATCACTGCATTCTCTGAGAACATCACAGTCTTCATGCGTTCACGAGGCTGGGATAGCTTAGCAAAAGTCAAACCAAGTAAAAAAGCATCTAAAATCAAACCAATCAAGGATTGTATCTGTAACACGATGGCAGCCTCTGGACACTTGGTTGTAATTGCTCTGCTTCCATAACCAATGGTTTGTTCCGTTTCAATGGAAAACAGAAAAGCAGAAGACCAATCATACACCTGGAAAAAAACAGATCTGAACTAAATCATTGAAATATATAGTTAATTAATATTGAATGCCATCAGATTCATTTTGTGAAAATGAAAAATAAAGTAAGTGCATAGAAAAATCTGAAAAAGATATTTCAAACTGATGTTATGAAAAGGAATTTTTTTGTCCTCCTTCCAGGATTATTTCAGCTGGAAGGGTTCTTACCTGCCATCAATGATTCATTTGAGATGGTTCATCTCAATTGAGGACAATTTTTCAGATGACCTTTGGTAATTGACTAAATGACCTTTGAAAAAAAAAAGTTCCCCATACCACCCCTCCCTCAGCTTTTTATCAGTTAAAAAAGCTCCTTTAACATTTCTTCCTTTTACAATTTACCTACCGACAATTGCTACCTTGAATTGCTCATACCCAGTCTAAACCGAAAACAAATCACTCAGTCACGCAGTCATTCACCATACACATACTGTCACGCATTCACAGCACCTCCAAATTTTAGTACAAATAACCAAACGAACAGAAAACTACAGATGACTCGATCCGTAAACTTACCTCCGTGACACAAACCGAGGGTCCCCTAATTGCGATAATCAGCCACCAAAGCAGGGCAAACAACAGCCATGACAAGACGTACGAACTACAGAATATCAAAATTACCCAAGGCCAGTGAAGATCGATCACTGTAGTAAACAAATCGGCGAAGTACAACTTGGTTTTCCCCGGTACATTTCTGGCCAACACTTTGAGAGATCCATTTTTACCGACTAACCGCTTCTTTCTAGAAGAAGAACGATTGAGAAAGAGTCGAGTGTGTTCATCGAAAGTCGGCGAGGAACGTGGAGGATGTAGAGAAAATGAAGCTCTATTAGCTTGATTTTTTTGCGCTCGCATGTTCACCAGATTGGTAGAGGAGACCGGTTCTATCCTAACGAAGGGTTCAACAGTTTCGTTAGCCTCAATCGAGTCCTTTGTTTGACGAAAATTCGAATTCTCCGTCATACTTTTGCTGTCAGTGACATCGAAACAACTGAAATAGTATGACAGATTCGTGCAAAATTAATACCCAGTCTCTCAGCTGTTTATATAATGCTCTTAACACTTATCGGTGTAATCTCTCCACAGTATGCATATAGCTTTATACGAGCCATTTGCGGTTGATTAAAGAAAAACAGTTGAAAACCACAAAAACAAAAGATAATGTCCATATTGGAACTCGCTTGTAGTATGAAAGCGTTTTGACGCCAGAGGAAGTCTCGAGCGGCCACCCACGGGGAATGGCAGGTTGGTCGCTTAATACAGGTTCCGCAGATAGAAGTGTTCTAAGAAAGGATAAAAATTTTCATTTTATGCCATAGGTGAACTCTTTATGCAGAAAAACTCGCTTAAAACACTTACGGGAGATAAGAATGGGTTAAATTTTTACTTGAAAGATTATTCTTAGTTTTATTTCAGTGGTTCCGATTATACCCCGTAAGCTTGAGTTTGAACCGTATCAAGAATCCATTGGGGCCCCTATCCCTTTATAAAATTCAGCTTTTTGAAGCTGATTTTCATCCAGTGAAACCTGGTTGACTGTAAAACATGTTTTTGTTTTTGTCGTTGTTGTTGTTCTAATGTGAATGGGGTATTAACTTGTTCTTCAATCAGTGAAGGCACGAGACATGAATGTTTCCCAGACAACCGCAAATTCCGCACCCGCATGTACGTTCGTCTGAAACAGGAACTCTGAAACTGAGAGGTTCCGAGAACCTGGCACAGGCAAGGCACAGGCCACACCCGGGATATGAGCCCGCCCAGGAGCCCTTTACCCCAAATAAAGGCTCCCAGGCTGTGATCCTCCTCCGAACCGTTCCTTATTGAGAGGAACGGAGATCAGATCCGGAAACGGCGGAAATCATGAAGACTAGGTCCAGGCTAAGGAAAGCTGGACAGCAGTAGCTTCATACCCATGACCCCTGGCGAGTGTTGGCTACAAATTTTTCTCATGTCCAAGAGCTAGGTTGGCCCAATCGCAGTTTGCACCGGCGGGAAAAGCTCTTTAGTTCCCATACTTTCTCTACTAAGATAAATTCGCTCTCTTAACTGTAAATTTTAGTTTAAAAAAAACAGAACTTACTGATAAAGCTGATACTCCATGTTTTCAAAAAATAGTTTATTCGTTTAATTTCACTTTTGTATCAAATTCCCAATCTTCCAAATATATACGCATTTATTTTTATCGAATGCACAAGAAAATGAATCACGTAAATGAAAAAGCTCCTAAGGAAAAAATCCCTAACAGAGCTTTCTTGTTTAAACAAAGATAAAAAACGGAAAACTCTGCCCACGCACTAACCCTTAGGATAATAGGCCCTAAATTAACATGCGTATAAAAGTTCTCTATCTCGGAGGAGCGCGGTAGTGAAGCAGTGCGAGGGCAGAGTGACGAAGGAAAAAGAAATCGAGTTTTTATTCTTGTTTTCCCATCGCGGACTGTTCACTCTTGCGCTGCTACTCTATTGCGCTCACCGAAATGAAAATACTCCTCCCCCTTGGAACGTACACTAGCCTTCTAACAAGCTAGCCTGTCTGACATTCACACATGTTTTCACCCTTGTCCTCAAAGTGTCCGTATTTGACCTTTCTCCCCCTAAAATCAAATCCTCACTCAGACGACAAAAATTGTCAAGCGACGTTCCCAGATGTACAATTATTAGCTAGTGGACTTAGTCTATTGGGGATTGAAACAGATGTCTAGCCTCGTTCCTAATGGCTTGTGTAACTAACAGACTACTGTAAAACTTAAGGTCGGAAGTGTTTTGTGCAGGAAATACTGACCAACCGATCGAGTGTGTGTGGCGGAACTTCCGAAACAAAAACTCGACATTCTGTTGGTTAAGGTTACCTGAAACTTAAGAAAACTGAAACTGATTAGATTTAGCTATGGTTCAATCATTAAAGTCTAGTGGTCTTCAATCTTAGCTGACAGGAACAGGTTATCTATATTTGTATTGCACAGAAAACAAAATACGCAAACGGTGATCAGAAACTGAAGACTTCATTGATTTTGATTGTTCTGTGTATATTCGCCCCTTGAAATGTGTTTAGAGCGCTGTTAATTACACAACAAAAACAAACACGGTCAACATCACTGTATTTATTGCGATGTAATAGATGAGATGAGGCCATTTTCCATCGAAATTTCAGATTTTATGGTGAATTCGTCTGCTTACTTATCCGTATGAAACTGAAAGATAATTAGAATCATTAAATCACTTCGGGAACAAACAATAACATGGTAAACGAAAACAAAAATAATCGTATTTATGAAAAAATAAATAAAATCGAAGTGATTACGTTCATATGTGTTATTTTTTAATTTTGGTGCGCATTAATGTTCCGTCTGCGGTACTATAATGATTACTTAGCAATTACGTTGTCAGCAAAGTTAATACATTCATTCTTCAGTACCCTCCTAACACCTAGATTAAACATGGGCAATTGTAATTTCATCCCCGTTCGCCTCGTTATCTTCAGTGCTTAGAGTTGTGTCGGTAGGTCTCTGCTCCGTGTTATCCGAATCGTAGTCAATGTCCTCCTGTGTTCCAGCGCTCAGTAAAGATGATTCCGAATTCATTTTAAACATTTTTCCTTCGTAATAGTCCTTGGCCGAAACCTGGGGGGTAGGAACCGAACGGGTGTCGTCAAATACTGAAAAATCGACCCTGTATCTGCCAGACCTCCATCTAGACTCGTCTGTTGTGTTTACAAACTCATGACCCCACAGAATTTCATCCGCTTTGTAGGACGTTTTCGCTTGAACTAACATACTGGTAGCCTCCACAGTTCCTTCAAGGAGAACGACTATTTCGAAATCGCAGTTGAGCAAATCTTTGGGGTGCATTTCATAAAGGGGGCTGTTCTCATCGATAACATGCACCATGGTCAGGGGCAATATCAAAAATATTGCACTGTCCTCTATCAGACCGTCTTCACAAGACCAGTCCGTTCCCACGGGCAAGTTCTGCTGATAAAACGGCAGTTCAATTCCTTCTCGAGTCTTCCTCTTTCGAAACAAATGCATTCGAACATGAGCTTCCAGAATCTGGCTTTTCCTCACGTCACCCACCCGAAACATTAGGCACATTTTGCCGTCACGCACTGCGACCACGGCGTTTCGAGAAAATAAAATAGTTTCCGCACGATTCCGCGGACGCGATAATTTTGCGAAAATTAGACCTAGCATAAACGCACCGATTATAAACCCGATCAGCGATTGCACATTCAATAAAATAACAGCTTCTGGACACTTGGGTGTGATTTGTCGGCCCCCATAGCCAATAGTTGTTTGCGTCTCAAGCGAGAACAGGAACGCGCTTGCAAACGAATCAACATTGTCGACGCAGACGTTGTCTCCGCGGATGAACGTTACAAGCCACCACAAAAAGCCAAATAGGAGCCAACTACCACAATACATGAACGAGTAAACCACACAAATCCATCGCCATTTAGAGTCAATCATTGTAGTAAATAAATCCGAGAGGTACATCCCATGTTTTTGTGGTACATGTGACGCCACCACTTTCAGCCCTCCATGTTTTCCCACTAATCGGCGCTTCTTGCTGCCGTGTTTGGTCGATAGAATTCGCTTCATTCTGCTCCTTTTGCTCTTAGCCTCCCACGGTCTCTTCCTTCGAGTATGGCCTGTGCCGTTAGGCTGTTGTATCCTGACCTCTTTTAGCTCATACTCATCACCTTGTCCACCCTCTTCGGTCTCGTTCATGTCAGAGTAGTCAGATGATGTTCTTGAGTCTGAAGATTCGTCCACCCCTCGACGTTGCCAGTGCCGTTTAGCTTGGTCCCTCGACCTGTCCGATGGAGAAGACATCTTTGAAAAAAATTACCAACCACCCGTACAAACGGCAAGTTCAACAAAGGGCGCATCAAATTATTAGAAAACCTTGTTCTGAACAGTTCGTAAATTACTTCCAATGTACCATAACGATATTAGTCATTAAACATGTGACGTGAGTGGAGTGACGAAGTAACCTTGATGACACTTTCCCCGCTGTGCGTGTGACTAAGGTTGTTTTGATCAATATATCGCTTAATTATTGCGAGCCAATTTTTAACAGAAAGAAATTGTGAAGGTAAACAACTCAGACATAGCTTAAAAACTCACTGAGTGTATCCTGCGGATATCACATCCAAAACCACAATCAATTTGAAACAAAGGAATATTAAGAATTTCTCAAGTCCTTACCGAACGCGCAATTTCCCTCTTCCTCTCTGCTTTGCCCTTCGTGAAATTTAAATTTGTTTATCATTCAGAACCCACTGAAGTTTGTGCATCACTATGCGGATAATACTGTTATTGTACTTGGCACTCACTTGGGATTTTACAAAATGCTGTGATTTATTTGCATTCAGCTGATATTTGCATTTGAACGCCTCTGCAAGACCTCAGAATGACCTTTACATGATTTTTAAAACAATACGGGTGTCACGCAGTAAACTTCGCCGGTTGATATGTCTACTAACTTTGCTTTCCAGTAAAGTGCCTTCCGAATACTGGGAGAGAATTTTGAGGAAATTTCAATCGTTTTTGAAAGGTGCTATGTAAATATCGTTTGATAGAGCCTTAAAACATTAGAGACGCAATTCGAAAGCTGTTTTCAACGAGGAAACGAGACCAGTTTCCTTATCTCGTCGATTTCATTTCCGCATATGCTCCACGGCCGTATTTCTTGAATAGACACTACCCCAATGGATTAAAATTTGGCCATGCCCCGACAAGTCATGAAATCAGAAGGCTGAGGTCAGATTTCGGACAGTTCTAACCGATTTCGGATTCCGAGAACTTCTGATCGATTCCGGATGCTTCTGTCTAAGTCTGTTTTCGGTCGTTTCCGTCCATTTCGATCGACTTCTATTTTAAGACATTTCCAGTGTGAGCACTAAAGAGACAGCGTTACGTTTAATTTTGTAGAAAATCAACAACGATAAAAGGAAATTTTAAACTACTATAATTTTCCGGAAAGCTAGAACTTTGCTATATCGACACGGACAAAAAGTGCGGTTTTCTTGAATAACTTCTTTATTTCGTGAATACCTTAAACAGTGTGCCTACAAATCCGCAATTATACCCGTTACTGTCCTAATTTGTCAATTGCTCATTATCAAAACAGCTCAATTTTGAAAGAATTTGTTTTCTCCAAGAGAATATCAGTTGATATTCTTTTTCTCTCAAACTATGACATAAAATTCTCTCTAAGCCTGAATAATAATAATAATAATAATAATAATAATGTATTAAGTATAACCGAAAAGATTATTAAGAATATCGAGACTTTAAGATCCCAGATACCGATGCGCTTCACCGTCTTCATGCTTCTCACTTTAATTAAAATTAATTTATTTCGAATTTCTCTGAGACAGCAGGAGTAAACAAGAAACAATGCTATGCTCTTTTTAAAATTCTCTCGATTATTGCCATTTTAGAAGACGATGCTGTAACCGTGCACTTGTCAAAGCTGAAACTGAAAAGTTTTACCTCATTATTTTTAACCATATCTTTTGGACCTTTGCCGTGCTCTTTATAACTATTTTACTCTAAACAGCGCGAAATCATTTACCAAATATGCAAAGATTTAGATTTTTTGAATAATTGTTGGTAGCCAAACCATGAGGGAACTCTTAGTGGGATGATTTATAGATGGCCACTGCCATAAGAATTTGTGACTGCTTAATAAGGGTTAAATTTTCTTGATGATGAAAGCTTTGAGAGTTTGACAACTGTGGAGCTCTCTCGAGATGAAGCTCCGAAGGCGATCTTGTCGGGACCGGAATCCTAAAGGGGAACTCAGATCTCTTTCTTTTACCTTGTGCATGTAAAATGTTTTTTTTTTTAAAGTCGCTTATTGTAAATTAAAATTTGATGTAGGCGGCCACTTAATGGGCTTTGAGTTGGTGCTCGAGCGCATTGCTCAAAAGAAAAGTAAATTTTCTATCTTCAGAGAGTTCCATATTTCCGACTTTTCTCGCGCTTTTTTCGAAATTTACTTCTGATCCTTTCTTCTTTGCTCCAGGTATTGAGGCGAACTTTCTTGTCGACTGTTTACTTACATTTAAGCTGATTGGTATCACGGGATGTTGTGATGTGCTTTAATGAAAGCCCTTTTTTGCGACAAACCGCAAATTTTGATGAGATGCAGAGTGTAGAGTCACTTTGAGTGTTTTGATATATCATCAAAAAGCGGCCAACTCTTTTCCACCTGAAACGGTGAGGAAAAACCTGAAGATCGCGAAATTTGAATGGTGCGAAACACAGTCGAGTGGATAGTTTCATTTTTTTGCCACAGATGTTTCATTTAGCAGAAAGACTATTGTTTTATTTTGCTACAATAATAATTTTATGCGGTTGTTAATTTTCACCTATCAATGAAGAGCGCGGTTACAAAGCTAATTTTTGACAGCGGACCTTCGCCTATCACAGGTTAACACATACACGTTCACTTTGTTGCTGGTATTCTTTCACTTTCCCACACCGGACTCACTCATCCCAGACGAGTAGGTAAGAGTATTTTCTGCTGTAAAGGATGAAGCTGCAAGATATTGCATACCCCTTGCGCTTAGCCTTAATCTTACGGGTAAAAACGCTGCATAAATTAATGCGTTGCGTCCGATCGGACGATAAATACTAGTGATATGGTTGCAAACAGCTGATCTTGTCTACACAAATGAATGCACAGTTTCTGCAAGATTCCTCTCGATCTCATTCAGAATTTTCAATGTAACAGAATTATTCTAATACATTTGCAGTAGCGACGCAAACTAACGGAAAGATACGTTCCACTCTGCGCAGAGAGTGCGTTCGGCTGGTCGAATGACAATCGTTCCTCAAATCCGCCATTTTCCTTTCTTGACTGCTGGACCTCTCAGAGCTACAAGCTGTTAAATTTGCTTTCGTTTTACATGATGTTGATTCTTCCCTATGAAGGGGATTGAGTATTACATAAGTGCGTTATCCGCGATCACAGTTCCAGGAAATGCCCATTTCCGATCGCGTTGTGGTCAAAATGGATCAGCTGTCAAAAGGGGAACGTTGCTAACGATTGCACTAGAACCCAGATGTGGCCTTCTAAAATGGACTTAAAAGCACCCATTTATATCTTGCAACAATACAGTTATAAGCCGTTTTTAGCTTGATTGTCCAAAGCAGTCTATACGAGTTTGGAGGTGGTGTAATATTTAAATTAGGGTTGAGCGGTTTAAACCCTATTAAATGCTTCCGAAAATAATTTATAATTTCAAGGCGGACTCACCGCCAGATTATGATATGCATGAAACATCATTATGGTTTAAATAACATGGGTTTAATTAAAAATTTAACTTTAAATTTTATAGTACAGGTAATGATACTAAACAAAAATATATAGAACCCAGTATTTTTTAAGGAAAAAATTGAATTAAAATAATCTACTGGTATATAACTTTTTATTGTCAAATTGGCTGTGATCCAACCTTTGAAGGAAAAATTTTGATATAGAGGCTGACAGTAGGGCATGGCATCAACGATGGATTGAAATGTGTTATTCTTCATGACACAGTTAGAGGTTGATTCAGTTTTTCTCTAAGCATCACTCGATCTGTACTTTTCAGGTCTCATTTGTGCAACTAAATAATTTCTTAGCAGTTATTAAAAAGGGTATTTTAAAAATGAGTTTGGATTACATTGGTTTGCATATGTTTTTCATGCACAAAAGGTGTAAATTCCAGTGACTCAAAATGTGTTCAATTGAATACTTTATCACCCTTTTGTATGGTCTTTGCATGATATAAGGAACAGTGAGCACTGGAAATTCTTTGCCACCTACCAGTTTTGATTGCAGCTTAAATGTACGACTTGCTTAAACTTGAGGAAAATTCAACAAAGATAATATGCATCTGTAGATTCAAAGCAGCTGATTGTCACTAGCTCTTTTTGTAGACATGAGCTGTCTGAAGAACACCTCTGCTTTACTTTTGCTTTTTGAACCAAAAAAATCCAAGTGTATCGTCAGACTTGTTTAAAATTCCTCTAAACGACAGTTTAACTCTAAATGAGAAAAAAAAAGAGCGTACTTGCAATGTTTTCTTTAGTAATTATTTTCAAATGAAGAAATTGGGAGTATTGTCTAGTTTTTATGCAAATTTTATGATCTAAAAGAATGATTTAACTGCTTTATAATGTATTTTCTTTCATCAAAGTAATGAATTTCTGCCTTCTGCTGGGTTCAATAATTGTAACCAATATGTGCAGTCATCAGTGTAGCTAAAATTTCTTCAAAAGAGCCTGTAGGTGTGTATTGTTCACTCTTTCATCAACTAGATTTCAATAAGATTTAGTCAGAGAATGGAAAGGTTTAAGTTACAAAAAACTGAACTTGTTTTGTCTAACACAAGCAGTGAATAGGACTTAAATATTAAGAACTCCTGATAATGCTAAGGTATGGCTGTTATTACTAACTTGTATCTTTTATACCTACTGTTGTAAATAACATGCAATCAAGTGCAAATATCTCGCAATGTTTGGACAGATGGTCATTTTGTTATGTAAAAAAACCTGTTTTACTGGTCAGCAATGCATGCTTTGCTTCTTTATCTGCTTCGCTTTTCTTGCCTTATAAGAAATGCATGCAAAATAAAGCAGTTGCATGGTAAATAACTTGTCAGACATTTTAGTGCTTAGAATTGCTGAGTATTTTTACTTTTTGTTTGTAATTTGATTTGCCCCTGAAGGGCTTGTTAAAATACGGCACAACTTGTAAAAAATACTTAGCAAAACTACACACCAAAACATCTAATAACTAAAGATATTTATCTGGTAGGCAAGGTAGAAAATAACCATCTATTTAGTTCAGATCCCTCAAGAGTTTAGTTAGTGAGGTAGTAAGAGCAGTTGTTTCACTCTTTTACCTTTTATACTTGTACATCACCATAATACATCACCCATCGCTCTGACAAAGGGCTAATGCTCGAAACGTCAGCTTTTTCATCCTTTACGGTGGTTAATTTACGTTTTCAACTCAGTTGTTAACACTAAATTACCTGCTATACTCTCCCACCGACGCAGCACCACAGTTTCTTTAGAAACTAACCCCTTTATTCATTACAAGTCACTTGCACTACAAGTCTCTTGCTGAAATCAATTAATTTGCACACTCGGTCATTTTTCTTTCAGTTTAGGAAGTGGTACATTAGCTGCCTGGCCAGTGGCTCAATGGCTTGTGTTAATGTCTTGCTTTCCTGTGGAAATGATGACAAGGCATTGAAGCTTGACAGGGAAAGTACCTTTGAGGAATTTAGAGCACAAGTGAAGTCTTTGTTTCCACATTTGCCAGAGGTCAGTAGAGGGTAACTTGACCTTAAACCATTTCACAAGCATCAGAATGATAAAGGCCAGAAAGTAGGGAGAGCTCTGCCCCTTGTGTAAGAAAATCTGGGGACACACTCTCTACAGGTATTTGGCTGAAAATATCACTAGCACAGCATGGAATTGGTTTCATTGGCAAACTTTTAAGTCTTGGGATCTTTTACAATCATTTTTTTTTTATTATTATTAACCTTATAAATTGATTTGACATTACAGCAGTGGGACTTTTCCTTGAACCTTTACTTACACTGTAGTTAATTGGATTGTCACAATTGAGACTGAAATATACAATTCTGACAATTTCAAGTTTGAAAAGGAACTAGCTTGAGGACATTTTGAAAAATTTTAGTGGATGGAGGGTGCAGTTTCATGTGCACATAAAACACAACAGAGGCACTGTTGCCTTCAATTGTTTTAACCCTATATTCATGCTATAGGTCAAATTATTGGCCAGATTAAATTATATCCAACCAATGTGAATAAACTGAATTTTAACTAACATTTATTCATCAACTGGAAGACAATTTCAAAGCATCCAACCTCAGAGTAGATGTATTAGAAATGAATTCAAATCATGTTAAGGTAAGGGTGAATTAGATTTATTTTAACCCTTAACTCCCAATATCTAATTGTTATTTCTCCCTTTTAGCTGCTACACATTTCCATGTGAATTGGCCATGAGAATTTGGTATTAAATCAAGATAACAACCCCTACCTCTAGTGATAAATTTGAGTATTCTCATTACCTGATAATGTATGGATAATAAAGAGAGAAGTTACATGATAATCACTTCTGAGAGTTTAAGGGTTGATGAAAGGTAGAAGCAGATATGCTTAAAATTTTGCCTACGGCATTTTGTTTCCTGTACACCTCTGTAATGTGATTTTCTTTTTGCAGCACTTTACAATCAGTGATGGAGACTTCAATGAGCTAGACTCTGGAAATTTTCATAATGTTAAAAACAGTAGGCTGGAAACATGGTGTCTGGTAAGGATAGATATGTTCTTCCGATGAAGAGTTAAATAAAAGTATTCAGGCAGGCAGTTAATGAACAGTTTTCTGAGATGGCAACAACAGATAGTTGTAAAACTTTCCCACACATTTTTCTCGTAGGTTTTGGAGAGTGTGGCCAGTTAATATTAAACTTTCCACTAAGAGAGTTATTTCATAATTTGATAATTAAGTTATATTTTTTCAGCTCTTAAATATAAACAATCACCTGCTCTCTACCTAGTATCAGAGTTGGGAAATGTTTACTGTTTTTAAGTTGCACCATATTTCATTTGTCAGGTGCGTAGCTCCAAAGATGAAGCATTCATACTGGACAAACCACACTCTGAACTGATGCGATATGATGTGCATCCCAATGCTCTCACTCAGAGTGGGAATTACCATTTCAGTGGTAAGAAGAACATTTAAGAAATGCATGTATGGCTACTGAAGAGTATTTTGAAAGATTGGTCCAATCATAGTTTACTGAGCAGGCACCTCTGCCTAGCAAACTAAGTTCTCTGCATGGGACTTCAAGCTCAACTCTGTTATTCAAGCTGCCAGTTGGCAATTTAACATCATAAAATGGTCCCTGGAAATAAAGTTTTGGTCTTCGCAAAAATGAAGACAGTGTATGACTTACCAACAAAACTTCTGACCACACTGGTTGACTGTGGAGATTTGCTTAACATCTCACTGCATAACACTCTAACTGATAATTTAGAAGAAAGGGGCAGAGTTGAACGGAGGAAAATAGCCAAACATGGGCAGTTTTTGGTGAAAATTATTTTCTCACTCTGACTTTAGACCATAAAAGCTAAGCTTTAAAAAGGTTTGGACTTGGGGACCTTTGAGAACAGGTTGCCAAAATGGCAACTTGCACTGCAGATTTGGCTGTCAAAATTTTTCTTGTCACCATGGCAATAAAAGCTGTAACAGCCTAGAACATCGCTTTACTAGCTGTTGGCATCATACAATTGTGACGAAGCAGATTCATATCCCCTTCTTTAGACATACACTCAAGAAACACCGTTAAAAAGTAGATGTTAAAGTGTATATGTAGCACACCATTATTTAAGGTTTCGTTTTCCTTTCTACAGCCAGCTACCAAGCCTTTTGTGAATTTATTGACAACAGCATCCAGGCAACAAGTACTAACAACTGCAAGGACATGGAGAGAACAGTAGATATTCATATCTTCCTTAAAGATGTGAGTAAGATTATACCTTTATAATCCTTTGACTCCTAAAAATGACAACACTTAATTTCTCCTTACAATTTCACCCCTAAATCAAACATGAAGGTCATGAGAATGAAGAAAATAACCGCCAAGAAAAGAAGCTCTTGATTGTTAAACAAATTCTCCTCATCAGCCCCCTAGGAAATTTATAGAGAACAGTATGAAGAATACGTATACTGATGTTAAGGTGTAAAGGGTTAATTTGTGAAAAATCTTGTGGATGTTCCTTCAAATTGGACCTCTTAATTGCAAGTTTTTGCCCTTGATCTAGAAACTAGTCGCCATATTTGACAATGGAGAGGGTATGACATATGAGGGTCTGAAAGCATTTGCGACCTATTTCCTGTCACAAGCTGATCGTGGCCTTGAAAATGAGGAAGTGGACCTTATTCCTGCCTATTTGGATGGCTGTATTTCCAAGTTTGGCGTGGGTGCAACACAAGCAGTGAGTAGTGAATTGTTTACACCTTTGTTTGTGAGCTGATGATGGTGGTGTTCATAAGGAGTAAATTTTCTACCAAGAGGGAAGCCATGGTGCTGACATTTACAATTTTTCCTTGCTGTTGATGCTTTTCGAGATTTTCTTTTTTGTTTTGTAACATGTGTTATTTGGAATGATTTGCTTGGTAGGGTTTCTACCTTGGCGATCGCATCAAAGTTATCACCAAGAGAGAGGAATGTCCATATGTTACGGAAATCTCTATATCTAAGGTAATGATTAAAAATTTTCTGGTTCTGGTCAATAAAAGCTCTAGGTCAAAGCTCAAGATGGAAAACGTCGAAATATTCAGATAAATTTTTCTCTGAGTGTCATGCAAGTATAACCGAGTATAATTTCCGCATCTGATTAGGAAAAGCTCCAACAGCGAGCGAAAGAAGGCAAGCCTGTGTTTGAGGACTACCGATGGATCAGAAATCCGAGCGACACCTCCACTTTGGAGCCTGGGGAGGAGGAAAGATGTCTTAAGAATATTGTGAGAAAAACTTGATTTACTAGAACATTACACAAACTATGTGTTATAAAGCTAGCTTTGGGTGAAGATGGCTGAATAGTGGTCGGGTTTTTTAAAGATTTACTTTAGATCTGGACAAAACGATTTTGGACACTTGATGGTATCCCTAGCTTGGGAGTAGGCCCTCATTCATAAGGGCTTCGATGCGAGCGTGTTTTCGTCCGCGGGAAAGTATGAGGCCTCGAGAGGCGGCGAGAGGTTTGGAAGGGGACTAGTACTTATTAATATTAGTGCCAGACCCCCAGCTCGCCTCAAATCTTTCCGGGGACGGAGAAACGTGATTGATAAGAATTCTGGAAACACCAACACTCGTGAGTACCATTGAAATCAAACTGACGTATGCGTTTTCTTCTCAGATTGAGAGAGAGGCTGCATATTCCCAGTTTACCATGATCATCATCACTGGCATTCGGGACATTCATATCAATTCTATCAGGGAAGATGATGGGAGTAGTTTGGCTAGGAATCTTGCGCATGTCTATCACTTCTATTTGTTTGGCGAAAGAGGCCGGTCGGGAAACATGAGACTTCCGTCCTTGGCTAACTCGAGGATCCCTGTAAGTCTGCGACTTTGATACGCTAAGCTGCCTCTACATTGCCTTGACACGCTTTCTGTGGACTTGACAAGTTTTCCGTCGGAATGTAAAAGGAAAAAATGACCAAGATTTTTTTGAAAGATTAATTTTTTTCCAAAATGTTGTTGTCAGGTAACTTGCGATGGACTGGGTACTGGCAACGCTCTATGTCACTTCGGGTTCTTGAAACCGGGATAAGTTTCGGCCGAGTTTGTTCTTGGTTTCGAGTTTAGATACCACCTTTTACGTTTTGCACTTATCTACAAAGAACCAAAAACAAACTGCAAATCGTTCAGTTTAAGAAAGACCAAACGTCATTTGAAGAAGTCAGTGAAGTTGGTAAATTATACTGAGCACGTTACCGATGGAAGTTTTAGTTTCTCTAAGCTTAATGTATCACAGGCTTCTCGGGAAATTTAAAGGCACCCGTATCAAATATTGTACTTTGTCGTGTTTAGGGAAGTTGCTCATTTTTTTTTTTTTTTTGGTAATAATTTTTGTCTCTTTTGCTTTCCAGGTGGAGTTTGGAATGAGTTCTTTTCTAAAGGTAGACATTAGTCTGGTGATTGATGACGGTAAAAACGCCAACCAAAAGATATTTTTTAATCTTCGAGAAATTGAGGATGATCTAGAAAGTTTGTACCAGACAAGAGCAAAGGAATGGTTTCCGTTTTCGCTGACCATGAAGGTTCCCGGTCTGGATCCGCATCAAACTGTTCAGGTAGGCAATGCGGTCCTCAATTAAAAAAGAGAAACTTTGGGAGACGTCTTACTTGGATTATTGGTTTGTGCGGTAGACTGTGTTTTCCGGCCTTTACCTGGTTATCCTGATTCTCTCTTGTGCGTGACACTGTCCTCTGACATTGCCTTCTTACACCAAGGAGTTAAAATGGGGACCAGTAACCGAGCAGGGAAACTTAGTGTAGCCTTCGGTAGAGAATTATTTTTTAAGCCCGAATCGAATCGTCGTATCTTAAATTTCAACACGATTCTAGATCTCAGTGTCCTCCTTGGAATCTTCCGTAACCTTAGGGACGTAGCAATAGCGTGACGCGATCACAAATTCTCCTTTGAACCTAAGAAAAAGTGTAATTCGAGGAAAAACTAGCTTTTAAACGCCGAGGTTTGACCTTGTTCGAAAGAGCAAAACACATGACCCGCAAATGACAGTTGACTCCTATTCCGAGAAAAAGTGTCGCCTATTTTAGTCGCGCTGTGTCTTTTACTTTTTCAGGGAGTGCTGATGTACTTTCCCCATGAAGGCGGACACGAGACTCTCCCCCGGCCAGATGATATTGAAGATGATGCACAAGAGCCGATTTTTGAGTGTTTCTGGCAAGGCAGACTGGCTCCTTTATCTTATGTTCACAAGTAAGCTGGAAATATGTCATTCTAATCTAAAAAATAATTTTGATATTAATGACGATTCCCCTCTGACCTACTCGCACGAGCGCGAAGTCTCGCGTGTGGAGAAGGACAAACACGCTCTCTCCGCGTTTCAGATTTTCAAACCTTCTCGCTCACCGACTCCTGTGCTGTGCAGAAAGTGCGAAAAGGGCTGTTCAACGTTATATATGTTAATTCAGAAACTGGCCACTAATTGAATAAAATGACAAAAAAACTAGTATAATCAGCAAAAAGGCACGACTGGACAAAATTGAAGAAGGCCCCAACGGATTGTAGTTTTTAAAAATCATCTAGGCGAACAGTTTCTCAAATTTTATCTTCGTCAGGGACGGAACAATCCTTGCCAGAAAAATATGGTTGACTAGAGCTAGTATTAACTGAGGTAATTGCAGAAGTAGAACATAGGTAAAAAGGATTAAGGCATCGGCAGCTTGATTTTATACTCTTGAATAATTGTGGGGCGCAACTACTAACAGTGTTACGAAGCTAAACGATGGGTGCGATTCAGAAGTTAGTTTTGTTTTAACTTTTTTCCTTTCACAGAATGGAATTTTGCACGTCACCAGCGCAGCGATCCAAAAGGCAGAAAGACGTGGTGCCGGACAGCTGTTATCGCAGGCTCAAGGGAATCTTGTTCTTTAACAGGCATACGCCTGTGTCAAACAACAAGTTAAAAATCCTGTTGGACGAGAGGAAGGATTTGTCCAGCGCGCTAGAAGACGCTTCAACGGAGAGAAGACTTCCTCAGGAGTTTAGATCTTGGCTTGAAAAATGCCATCGAGAACTGGACAAAGAGGTGAGGCAGAAACTGCAAAGGTAAGGCAACGATTTTCAAGCAGAGCTGGACATTTTTCGTCACAGTATCGCGTTCTCAAACGTAGACGCTATCAAGTGGTATAGCTCATGACGTTGGATGTTGCATTTTGACCAAATGGTTCAAATCATAAGGAGTATTCATTAACCCTTTAACTCACAAGATTTGACTGTCCATCCTCTAATCTAGCCGCTACATATTTCCTTGTAAATTAGTCACAAGAATGTTAGATCAAGACAGTTTCCGCTTGATAAGTTTGAGTATTCTCATTACCTGTTTGCAGGATTATGTTTTGATATATTATAGGGAGAAGTTACATGATCATGTCTTTCTTAGGTCAGCTTTGATACTCCGCTTCCAGCCTCTCAGCAGCTGAAGAATGGTGATGTGGCACATAGCGTGTTGCGCGTAACCACTAGCTCGGGAGTTCAAGTCTACAAAGTGAATGACATTGTCAAACTGGACACTAAACCCATCATTTATGGCAAAGTGTTGCACTTCGTTAAAGTCGCGAAGACAAATGAAGTTGACAAAGTTGTCGTGGAGAGACAACCGGAGGAGGTTAGTAGATGCCAAAGAATTAAATTCGTATTTTCATTGAAATTTTTCGCGTGGTTCTGTCACAGCGCTTTGGATGACAGGGCCACAGTGGTCATTTTGTTTTATAAAATAATTCAAATAGTACGCGCGCTCTGATTGGCCATAAAACCATTTTACATGAGCGTATGTAAACACGGTTTTTGTTCCTCTTGCATTAGTTATTTTATAAAAGAAATGTAAAATGGTTTCCGTGTTTACATAGCCTAATGTAAACACGCGGGAGGTTGGGAGAACACGAGATAAGCGTAGGAAACCACGACGCGAAGCGGAGTGGTTTCCAGCTTATCGAGTGATCACGTCCATAATGAACTTTTCCCAAGCCACTGGGAGTGAGCGTGAGACCGCTGACCTCGAGCACTCCGTCGTTGTTCGGCTTGTATTTGTGTTTACATCAGGCTATGTAAACACGAAAACCATTTTACATTTCTTCAGTCTCGTTTAGCTTTTCAAGTATTACGTGACTTCTTACGTGGCATCTTGGTAATGCATTGGAGTGCGTTACCTGTACTAGGGGAATGTTTGTTACAGCGAAAGAGGTCTTTTGCAGAAAATTCCCCTAAAGTTAACTTGAGTTTGTATCCTTTTGAAACACGAGCTGTGAGATAAGTACATGATATTTGTATAACGTAGTATTACATGCAGAAAATGTCTTAATCCTAGATGTAAACTCACTTGTTTATGTTACAATTTAACCCAAAATATTTTTCTTTAGGTTTATCAGCATCAACTGGAAGAGAAACCAATTTCTAGAATTATAGAAATTCCCGATCAAAATACGCTGAGGAAGGTTTTTAGCCAAGAAAAGCAAGCACTTCCTAAGACAGGTAATATGTATTGTGTGTGAACGGTGCGTGTTTTTGTGTCACTTCACGCCTTTGTTTATCTCTTTGAGTAATAACGTAACATGTGACCTAAAACAGCTTCACGCAACGTCTCGTCACTCTTTGTCGGACGCAGTGGTAAGAGCGCCCGCCTCCTACCGTTGTGGCTTGGGTTCGATTTTGAAACCCTGCGGCTCTCTACAAGTGTTAATCTCGTAGTTCCCAACTTTTCTCCCTGGTTATATTTCAATTAGATCCGCAAAAATTAGACAGATGGTCACCTTAGGAAGGACCACTGTTAAATTCTAATGTTGTTTAGTTTAATCTGGACACTAACTTACGTGTAAAATTATCTTCGATTCCTAGTAAAAGTATACGAAGACAACCTGATCAACGAAATTTCACCAAGAACAACATTAGAGTGGTTAGCTGGTGAAACTGAAGAGGGTTTCAATGGTTTCTGGGTAAAAATCTTTAATGGCGAACGACCTCAGAAACCTCTCGTCAGCTTACACAACAAGAAACTGTGCATTCGTCAGGTAATTGAGGGACCTGAGAACATGGCACCTGTTCAGAACGATCAACCGCACGACGGAGAAAAGTTTGGCTTCAAACCGTTTTGGTTGTCTGTGGCTGGAAGGTACTCTCTCAAGTACGTTGCCATGCTAGGAGACAGAGAAATGACTTCCATGCAGTTTGAGATCAACGTGAAAGGTAAGAGACTGCTTCTTAAAACTGTAAATGTAAGTTATGTTATAGGTTAAACCAAAGTTATCGCAGTAGCTAATTAGAGAGGGAAAAAAAATACCCGAAAGAGCTAATGTAAAAGTAAAAATAAGCAGTTTGCCTAAAGCTCGGGAAAGCTCGGGAGAGCTCGGGAAGCTCGGAACCAAACCACAATTGGTTTTCAATTTTGAATCTGAGTGTTAGAGAAAGTGGCGCGCGTTTAATGGAGTAATTACAGAGCGAGGTTGATTGAAACCAATGCAACTCCGGATTAATTTCGACACTCAGTTGATTATTACTCACAGGAAAATTTAACGAGTTAAGTATGGAGGGAGAGGGGAAATAGAATCGTTGATGAATTAGCATCTCGTCCAGGAGAAGAAGTAATATTTCTGTTGCCTTCCTGTTGTGATAAGTGAGATATTTTCCAGCAGCACTCAGCCTCTTCTCTCATTCAACCTTTATAGCATTTCTTTGTTCTTGCTGTATCCCACTCAAGGTGAGTCAAGGCCGAAGGATGAAACGTACTTCGTTATTTTTGCCTCTTTGCAGCTAATATCGCATCCTACTTCAAGGTGACGGAACCGTCAAGCAATGAAACTCCACAGCTCACCCTGGGAGAGCCAGAGCTTAAGTTCAAACTCTCGTTTGTCGACAGCAAGAATAACGCTGCTACTAGGTTCAGTTCAGGAGAATTTGTCAAATTAGTGGTGTCGTGCCCAAATATGGAAGTGCAAGGTGTCAAAGACAAATACAAGCCGAACAACGACGGAGTGCTTGAGGTCAGCGGTCTCACGCTCACTCCCAGTGGCTTGGGAAAAGTTCATTATGGACGCGATCAACTTATCAAAGTAGATGTCACAGGAATAGACTTCGTTACGTTTCCAGTTCGAATAAAGGCGGGTTAGTGGTGGAAAAATTGTTGTTTTTTTATGGTTCTTATTTTGCTTAAGCGCTAGACACACAGAAGTAGTAACAGAGTTAATCGTTGTAAAATTTCGTTTAAAAAACCATGAAGATTCCATATTCTTGTTTCCAGACATTCTTAAATGACGTTTTTTTTTGTCATAGAGAACCATTACCGGTGTTTGTGAACAGATTTTAGGTCTTTTACACAAAGTAGCCAGTGGTTTGATATTTCAATAATGTAGGGGGAAGTCTTGGAAACTTGTCTTGGATATTCACATTAACTTGAAGTTGTTCTTTGCAGCAGACTGCGCTATTGAGAAAGTACCTCAAAAAAATCCTGTTTTAACTCCAAACAAACTCATTACTGTAAGCGGTCAGCTTCAGTGACGGAGTCCACTATAAGTGTGACAGAGTGTATTGGAGTTTTAACAGAACTCCGTTTTCAATCAACAACGATAAGTCGCACTTTTCAAGTTAATCGCGTTTAGTCGCAGGATTGTAACTTCGATACCCCTCCCCTAACCAAACTTTAACCCTGGCTTGTTATTGGCTGGCTGTTGTTGGGTTAGTGGAGGGGTAGGCGCGCAGTTTCTCAGATACTGATATTCACCCGTTACCTCTTAGTGATTTTGTATTTCTATTTTCCAATATCAGGTCAACCACAAAGTGTTAAACTTCCTCAGTTCGAAACGACAGAAGTTGCAAACTACGACGAATTTCCAGAGTTTGTTCTTCAAGTACTGGATCAGTGGAATCAACCTTGCTCCGTGAGCGACAAGAGAATGAAACTCCATGCAGATTGCGAGGCATTCGTTGGGGGCCCACATCTCGCAAACATAGAGCACGGTCAGGGTAGATTCTCTGCTGTTAAAGTCAAACTCCCCCCTGGCAAAGCACCATGTACTGTTAAAGTTAAAATATCACTTGTCACTGTGGAAAGCAACAGGCGTAAACTCACTGTGAGCGAAGTTTTGAAGGAATTAAAACAGTTTAACATAAAAGTTCTTCCGAGCACTTTGCCACATAGAGTGTTAGTCTGCGAAGGAAACCAAAATGGATTAACAGTTACCAATGGAGTGGAACCTAGGGAGAGGCGAGACTGTTTAGAGTTAACGGTTCCTGCGGGGTCCATCATCAAGGGACTGTTCTTGAAAGTGTTCGATGAAAGTGGGAAACTGCTGGATTCTGAGGGCTTGAAATATTTGGATCTCAGAGTAACCACAACGTGGAGCGGGGAGGTAAGATAGGAGTGCTATTTGGAAAACGTTACTTACACACAGTTGTGAAGAGCAGGTTTCAGTGGAGTATCCAAGTAATCACAACGACCAACCAAAGCAAAATTCAACATCATTATGAGCCAATGAGAAGTTAAACTACGAAAGGCAAACTGCTTGAAGCGCGGAAAAAACACGAATAAACAAATTGCGATAGGTTTCAGTTTTGCATCTGTTTGGTTGAGAAGGTGATGGGAGTCTTTTTTAGGCCATTCACAGAGCGAAGTGAAGCAAAGCCAACTCAGTCTAGGATAACTTTTAATCTCAATTGAAAACTACTGCAAAGGTTGTTTATTTGCTATCCATGTAAATCGTCTGAATCATTATTTTCCCTTAATTTTCCTATTTTTAATATTTGTCTTCCTTAATGGCCTACCGTGTGACATGAAAATTTTTCGGATTGGCAATTTTTTGTATGTTTTGGGGAAATTTTTTGTTTCGACTTTTTGCTTGTGGAAAGGTATTTTTTTCGGGAATCAATGACATTATGGAATTTTCCCCAAATTCGAAGCGAGATGAACTCGTGGACATACTGTGCCGCATAAACGTGAACTTAGAAGATAAAGTTTTTTTACCATAAGCCAATGATTCCTCGATTCCAAGAAACAGAAATAAGCCGTCAGCCCCACATAAGTTCTCATGCTCTCCCCAGACTCCTAAAGCCGGACTAACGCGGCGAAATTTGCTCATCGAATCCCCGCATAAATCGTTCCTATGTTTCCTACATACACTAGTAAAATGTTTTTGTAAGGTTTTTTGTTGGATTTAACGAAAAGTTTCAACTAGCCAGAGAGCCCTTGTTAGTGCTTCAGAACTTTATTAATCCAAGTTATTTGTTGTGTACTTCCAAGGTACCGAACAAGAATCTTCCGTACTTGCCTGACTGTCCTGCATCCAATAGCGCCAACAATGCCTATGTGCATAACGTCGAGTGCGTGTGTAGCGAAGTTAGATGTCGAACGCAGATCAGGATCAAGGCTCTAGCGGGTGAGTTGACCTATAATGTGTAGGAAAGGCAAACAGTTGGGCTCCGTTACCTCAAATTGTGTAGCCCTACGTGATGTAGCTAGAGGCGGTGGTGCGTGAGAGAGGGGGTTTAATGGTTTTTGTTGGTTTTGCCATTTTCAGCCTTTGTTCGCCAGTTCAACATTCAATTTAAAAACAAATCGCCGATGATGTTGATGATACTACTTGTCATGATTATGATAATTGTCATAACAAAAAGTAATTTGTAAACGCCCCGTTATTTTGAACTTGCCGTTAAATTCCCTCATCCTGTGTCCATTTAAATACTTAGCTTTCCCAAGACATACTCCGGATGTATTGAGCTACCCCACCCCTACTCCTGCCATCCCTAGCTGCCTTCACATCCCGGTCGTGTTTGGGATGTGACGGGAGTCCGAGATCGAAAATGTCGGGTTCGACTTCTCCTTTGAATTTTTCTATGCCCGACGCTCGCCAGAACTTCCCCCATAAATCGGGCACAAGAGAGATGATTCTTCAGTTGATTACTCTCCGTTTTCTAGTCTTGTTTCGTTTGTATTAGGTCACTTAATTTAGTTTATTATGTATCTTGAATTAGGCGAGCCACAGAAATGGTTGTTCTGTTGTGAAACAAATTCGTTGGAGATTGAGTGCGACAGCAAGAAACAGCTGAGCCAGAAGTTGAAAATACAGCTTAAGGATAATCTGGGCAACTCTGCTGAATGTCCCCCGGATGTGGAACCGTTGGTGTCTGTTGAACATTCGCCAACCAGAAGGTGAACCATCGTATTTGCTTGTAATCTCGTCCGAGTCTGCTTTACTTTTAATAAGTGATCAGTCATAGGGGGAGGGGTAGGGATGAAGGATTTGGGGTGCGTCACTTTAAAATTTACCTGATTTCCCCCCACAGACTCTTAAGTGTTCTGATGAAACCCCCTCATTGTCAGTCGATTTCCTGTAAACCCCCTCTATAGCCTGTTAGCGACGACTGATTCCCTCCTGGAAACCATCCTCCCACCAGGTGATACATTATGACTGGACTCTAACGTCGTCGCAGTAACGTCTTCTCTCCCTGCTTGGTGGAACTGCTAAGATTCTATAAGATTCTAGTGCTGTCGTTTGTCTCACGATTTAGTCACTTCCGATGTGGATCGCGAGGATTCGACTGCAGCAATGCGTGACAAGTTGCACGGGTAAAATGAGATATTACCCCAACAACAGAAACAGTGGAATAAATATCCCGGAAGCATGGATCTCTATGACCTAGAAACACCTGAATGGGAGAGCTACACCAATGAAGGAACACAAAATCGTGATGAGCCAATTACAACAGCTCAAAACCAGCCAATCACAGCGGAGCATAATGCTTCGCCAGTTGACGAGTGAATAGTCGACCTCTTTGGCCGAAAAAGCCGATTTGCATTCAGAAGAAACGTCGCTATCTTCATCGGGAGCGACTTAACCTGGAGGCAAACGATTACACTTAAGTGTGATCGTAGTATTTCACTTCGATTAATTACCCACAACCTTTTTTAACTATTGGTCATTTTGTTTTCCTTCTTTTAATTTAGTGGAGGCACTGCTATTTTCATTGGAAACCTGATCTTGAAGGGAACGGAATTTGTGTTCAACAACGACGCGACAATTTCAGGCCAGCACGGTGTTGTAACGATGTGTGTGAGTGACAAGAATGGGAGGTTCACTAGGGATACTCAGAGAATCAATCTCAAACCAGGTGAGAGGAGATGTGAGTTAAAGAAAAGTGACAAAAAGGGGTTCGAAGGAATACGAACTAAGAGTTCCTTGACTAAGAGGTGGAAGAAAGAAAGCAGAAGTGAGACGTGCCATTGGTGAATTCGGCTTGAATTTGTATATACCAAAATAACAGCCGAGTTCTTCTCTTAATGATGAATTCATAAAAGTAAATCTTCAAATTTTCATGAGAATCAGAATCAAACTCTTGAAAATATGGGATTCAAACTTGTCTTTCTTAGGATTAAGTATGGCTACAACCGCAACTTCCCTCCCTAGCCAAGATATTCCACCTACCCTCAGCAAAGATATTTCCTTTTAAAAACTTTGGGGATTTGGGTGTTCAATGAACTCGTTATGATTCATGGATTTCGGATGTGGCTTTTTAAGAAGAATTTTAAAAAATGATGCCTATGTAACTGCAGTGACTATTCGGCGAAGTATTTCAGTTTTTCTACTGATTAGCCTGGTTTTGGCTGTCGTGTTAAAAATGGTTTTAGCTGCATATCCCTTATTTGTCGTCATGCTATTTCAGGTGCTGCACATCACATTGAGTTGAAAAGCCAAGCGTTTGATGATCCCTCGCAGAAACACGAGCACACAGCCAAGCTTTTCTCAAACTGCTTCTTCAACGCTCCTATCCACGCCTTCGTTTGCGACAGGTCAGGGAACAAGACAACCATCCGTACGACACTGAACTTGTCCTGGGTTCCAGCCTCTTGTGGAGTTCTTTTGCAGAAGAAAACTCAAAGGGGTGAGGCGGTGTTTGAAGCGAATACACTGAAATGTGGCAGCCGAACTGGTGACCAACAGGTTAAACTGAAAGTGTCCAGTCCAGATCACAAGAACTTAGGGGTAAGAGTTTCAGCGTGAACTAAAGTATATTGATTTCTGACACTAACATTAATGGCAGCCCGTCTCTTTAAGGACTAATCGTTAATGCTTGCCCTATCAGAAATATTGAATCCCTAAACAGAGTTAAGAAAGCTATTAAGGCTTTTTTCTTTGCCAAAGTTTTAAATCATTTGCATGCATATTTTATGTTTCTATATTTCTTAGCTAGCAATTTTTTTAATTTTTAGCGTTAATATCTAGGTGTAGCTGAATTTTTAGCATTATAATGCGTAATTGAAAATTTTTTCATCTGATAATTGTGCAATTTAAGGCAAGAAATTATTGTAATCCTTCTTTCTCTTCAACAAAATCTTCCCTAATTTCGATTTATGTAAGTATTTTTGAATTTGTTCATTTAATTTTTCGCTCGTTCCCTCTTTCTTTCTTTCATCGACCTATTCCTCCTTTTCGTGTTTTGAAGCATTCATTGTTTAATTTTGCAGGTTGCAACTGTTACAGCGACTTTGGAAAAAAGTAATCGAGTGAAAGCTGTTGTGGTCCAGGTAATCGCTGATCAAGAACTGCAGGCCACAGGGTGTTATCCAGTTTTAAAGGTATGCACTTCATGTTTTGTTAGCTTGTTTGGTGTCAACAGAATAGAGCAATTTTTCAATTAGTTTGTTTAGCTTTATTGTTCCGTATGATTGGTCGGGCAAACTCGAGCGATCCTCTTGACCAAAGCAATGCAAAGCTGCAACTAGTCGCGACTTGGCCACCCGCGTTTTTCCCGCTCTTTTGGAAGTATGCCTGTTTATAATTTGAGTTCTTATTAGTTGATGTCGATTCCTCGTTTCTATGAAGGTCGATTGCCAAACAGATGATGGAGTTCGAGTAGATGCGGTTAACCATCTCAACCTCGAAATTACTCGTCCAAACGGCAGCAATGTATCGTCTGTCTACCGGAAGCCCACACAGGACAGGACAGGCACGATCACCTTTCAATCAATCGCAAACCGTTATTTGGAGGAGGCGGGGCGGTGGTCAATCATCTGTCAGTTTACCGAGCACAGAGATAGGCTTAAATCCGTGCTGTCGCCGGCTGACCACGTGATTAGGAGTAATCCAGTTTATTTTGTGGTACAGCCAGGTACGAGCATCGCGATTGCACCGATTTTATTTCAGATTTATGATATATGTTGCATTTTTTTGGTCGACATTTTTGGCCTTAACAAAGCTGGTTGAATAAAATCAATAGTGACTTTCTCTGTACCTGTTTCTAGGCCCTGCTCAGAATCTTGTGTTGCGGTTTGCATCCGGATCACCTGGGGTGATTACAGCATCATGCACTGCAGACGTCAAGGGCCGTACCATTCTTCCTCGACCTGCAAGAAGGTTAGTGGTGATGAAGTAAGTCTGGCTAAGAATGGAAAACTCTGGTTATGGCCGTTTTTATTTAAGGGAGAAGGTACTTAAGTGAAGTCATGCGTCGTACTTCACATAGGCTGAATGAAATTCAAAAATCAACTTAGACGGGAAAATTAGATGCTCTCGACGATCTTAATTCCGGCCAAACTTAATTCATTTCCTGTAGCTTCAGTGAACCTTGAAACTACAATAATACTGTGTTTAAAACGTGGTTAAGCGTGCTGTATAAATCGAAGCCACTTCGGTGCCGTTAATACCGGCTAAACCAGACGTCAAAAACATCGAAGCCACTCTGAATTTATTCAGCCGTTTCGAATTAGTGCAATCCCGGCCTTTGCATGAATATAGTTCCCTGAATTCGATTCTGCTCTTTTGAGGCTCGGCATCTGAAACTAGCCTTTTTAAGTGTGAAATATGAATCCGTATCTGATGTCCCTGATGTCGTTCTTTTCTCCTGTAGCGGAGTAGAGGTTGTAGACATCGTAGCGGAGGACCTATACAGCAACATCGCCGATATCTCGATCGAAGTAAGCGTTACAATTCAACCGTCAGGGCCTGTGCCCAAGGACGTGGTCCTTCCTGCTTTGGAGAACAACCCGGTCCGAATCGCTCTCAGCCACGGTATGGCTAGGTTACCGAGGCTTGCTCTCTGCAGTCGTGTTGGTAATCATATTGGGGATTATCTGTTGGTGTTCTCCGCCCCTGGTGTTCAATCACAGTCTGTAAAGTTTGCGTTTAGTACAGGTAGGTTCTTTTTTGTCTTGTTTAGGTGGAAGGAGTTCAATTTGAGAAACGCCAATCAGTTTGTGGAAGCATATGCAACATTTTCTTTTGTCCGACCGCGCTGAGGCAACGTGCAATGAACACCATGTTATTTTGAACTTGCTGCCAAATCCTTGACGTTATTTCTTAGTAATAGTAATGGTTGTGATGATGGTAACGATAACGATGATGATAATGATAACAGTCTTGTTAATTTTGATGGCAATGATAACGAGAATAATGTTAATAGTAATTTTAATGGTGGTAATATTGGTTTGGATTCTAATAATGGAGGTATTTTCATCTGAGTGTAGAAAGTAATCCGTCCGGGACTGCGTTTGGTTGGTCCAGAAAACTTATGCTACCATCTCAAAGGGTTTTGTGATGTGAAAACTTAAGCTAAACTAAAGCTTATCAAACCTGTCTGGGTTTTTTTTTTCAATTTCACAGTTATGTTAACTCAACGATGAGCTTTCTATTACAGATGAACACATTCAGCGCATACAGAACGAGTTGCAGCCACTGAAACGGCAGATCACAGATAACGAGCATAAGGTTACAGAAGCTAAACGAAGGTTGACTCGGTGCCACTCGGAAGTGGCGACGGCACTCACCCCTGTTCAAAGTGCGTTCCGAGGAGAACCGAGGAGAAGAGACGTGGAAACTCTGCTTCAGACCAGCAGACATGAACTAAATCAGTTTGAAGCGCATCAGGCTAATACAAGACCAGCCATCATGCAGCATGGGCATCCTCCGGCGAGGATTCGTCAATACATTAAAGGTTTGTCCATATTTCGGATGAGGAGATAGGGTTGGGGGAGGGGGCGTAACCTACATCTCTGCGCGTTGGACTGGACGGGATAGTTCAAGGTTGAGGAGTTCAGAGTTCAGGACAGACTAGCATCCCTCTTATCCAGGATAATTATGTTCAAGTTCTTTGACCCTAGAAGTGACTGGAAGCTAATCTCTCCTAACATGTTCACTGCTGAATCAAACGTTAAAGTGACGAGAGTATAGGAAATGATCACCAACTAAAGCTCTTGATTGTTACACTTATTCTCCTTTTCAGCACTCTAGGGCATGTATAGAGAACAGTATAGAGAATATGCACTCTGATGATAAAATTTAATGAATTAATTTTTTTCCACCCCTAGCCATCCTGGTTTTTCTATGTATTTGATTTCTTCCCTTATAAGATTTCAATCTTACTTAATTACTACTTTACTTTGGAGGACGTAACTAAGTTAAAGGAAGTTTTGCGCTGCTTAAAAATGGGTGGTGAAATTCAGAGCAGTGAAGGAGGTTGCAGTCTTTTGGCAGCTTTTTGCGGAAAATTGGTGCATTGATCGATCGATCAGTTATCGGTTTAGTTACTGTTTTTCTTATTTTGTAACGTCACGTTGGAGCGACAAGGGAATCTTGGAAGTTGAACATTGTTCGGAGACGATTACGATATATAGATTAAGACGAGCCATTGGTGTCAAAATTACTTCGCCGATGTTTTTGCTGGGTGATTGTTGATAAATTGATTTATCGATTCATTCTATTAGGTGTTGTCGCTGAGCTTGCGTTTGTCTCTGACCCGTTACTTGCTCGCATCCTCTCGTGGTACCTTCAGTCTAAAATGTCAGTCACACTCACTTGCACCACAGAGCAGCAACGGAAAGTCTACGACGCAGGGTGTCCGGCTTATTGTGAAGCCACATTATTGCCTTTCACAAAGAGAGACTTTGATGGAAGTGATGGCAAACGTCTTCCTCTTGAGCTTCCATCCCCGCCTTCTAACTATCGTAGCCCCATTGAATTCGCAGTAAATCTTCTTGAGTTTACCAGCGACAATGGTTACCTTCGCTCGACCCTGTTCTGGAACCTTCTGTCGAAGACAATAGTTGTCAAAGACCTTAAATCTGGCCAGGCGTACCGGGAACATGTCACCAGAATGAGGCAATCATGCCCCACGATTTTGACACGTGATGGGAACATGATCGCCTCCGACGGCTTGATGGATCCGAAGAGATGCTGTCCGCAGAAGTTAGAAGATTTGAAATTTGCGTTCGGGGCGTTACCCGCTAGGGAGACGAAGCATTACAGGGATCTGAAGGAGAGATGTGAGGCGCTCGAAAGGCTTAATGCAACGGTGGTAAAATACGAGCGGGAAATGACAGATGTCCGCGCTAAAGAAGAGCAGCTGAATAATGCCAAAAAGAGTTTAACGCCTCGTATAAACGATCTTGAAAGAGAACTTAAAAAACTGAGAACTCTTGAAAAAGAAAGGGACAACAGTGAACCGTCTGAAAAACGGAGGAAAAGATAACCATAGAGTTATTATTTCTCGCTATTGCTTAAAACATTTCTTGGTAAGCTTAGTGATACAGTTGAAGGACAGATTGTCCATCGTTTTTACTCGTCTCTGTGTAGTCTGTCGGTTGTATTTGGTGCAGTTTTTATGTCGGAATCTGGTGCCCTTACTCTTTTTTCATGTCTACCTTGGTTTACAGTGCACCGTTTTAGAGAAATCTTCATACAGTGACAAATCTGTGAAGCGTGTGTTGATATGCGGTAGAATCTTAAGTGTTTTTGGTATTTTGGTATTTCTACGGCTTCGTTCTTTTTAGCAAAGAGTTTCTAAAGTTTATTTGTCATTTTAGACATATTTTTACTGCCGGAACAAAATTTGTCATAAGATTTTTAATTGTTTGTGATCAGTTACGGAGGATACGTAAATGTTCATTGTATAAATCAAGAAAATGCTGAAGTCGGAGAAGAGTACACATTGATTTCTTCGTGAGGCCGACTGCTTAAATCGTTTTAGTTTTACTTTTTTCACATGATTTAGCCTTGGGTTGCATGCTTTTTGTGCAACCAAGTTGATACGGTTTAGATTTGCCTCGTTATGTTGGTGTGTTAATCAAGTTAGCTTGCAAAAAAAGTTTCATCTCGTAATAACCTGCGCCCAACGTCGACAAGTTTGGCAAAGTCAACCGCACCCAGTTCCAAAAGTTTACCCTACGGTCTTTGACGTAGGATTTATCCATTCATCGTTTCTCTAAGAATTTATTTTAATGTAATGATTCGAGTAAGTTAATTTATTTTTATTCCATTGAAGTATTATTTAAAAGTACGAAATTATTGTTAGGTTTTATTTATTAAAGAGTTCAAATTTCCAGAAGGCACTATTATTATTCGAATTGAAAGTGAAACTGTCCATTCTTTGTATTTGCGCTAAAATAGTTTTACAGGTATTGTCGGTGCAATCTGTTTTTCCAATCCTTTTTGCAGATTTGTAAAGACTTTGTTTGTTTTTTTTGGTATACTTTGTGCTTAGTAATTAATTGTTATTATTAAAACAATAAATGAAAATACTAAGAATAAAAAGCCAAGACAATTCGCAGGTCTGCGAAACGAGCAACGACTTTGTTACCAACGCGATTTGATCGCGTTTTGCGGTTGGAGCGGCCTTGTTTGGTTTCAGCCATTTGACTGTATTTAGAAATAGATGTATTTTACCCTTTTGACAGGTTGACTGAATACATAATTTTTCCCATATTCAGAAGATTACATTGACATCTCCATTTTTCTTAAAGAGTTTTACAAGAAATTTTCAAAGTATTGGACGAAGTTCTTTAGTGTTCCAGCTTTAGGAAACTGCTATTTATTTATTGTTAGCTTAAAAAAAAGAAATTATCATACGTGCGCGTGTTCAGTATTTTAAACGAGTTGTAATTTGTTGGTATTCGCCACCTTGGATTAAAAACCACGAAAGTGAGTTTAAGTCTGAAATCAACGTTTCTTTTACCTTTATAGCCTTGCCACAGTCAGAATTCGGACATTATGGTCCGTTTTTGGATATGTGTGTCCATTTTTTGACACCAGCTTCCGTTTTTGGACACTAGCCTTCGTTTGTAGACACTGATGTTCTTTATCAGACACTAGAAAAGAAACTAGCGTCTGTTTTAGGACACTAACTTCCTTAAAGAGCACTGTTGTCCACCATTTAGACGATAGATGAATATTGTTTAAAGAGCTTTAACTATGGACCCAAAGTTACGATTACAAACCCAAAGTTCGTAACGATAACTTTGGATTCTTAACTTTGCATGCGTAGTTGTAACTATATCTTGTGTCAATAATGGGCTCCTGATTCCGTATACTGATCAACGATTTCGGTTGTTTGTTGAATTTTGCAAAAGGCAAAATGATTGTACTTTTTTTTTTTTTTTTTTTTTTTGTCTTGATTTGGAGCAGTGCGTTGCAAATGTCGAGCTGGCGCTACACTTGTAGTTGGAGTGGGATACCCAAAATCGCCATTTGTAACCCCGCCTCCCTGATGCTCAGGCACTCGATTTCCGGTTGGTATCTCCTTTCCAGTCCATTTTCCGCTCAGCTGTAGCAACCAATCGTTGGATTGGTTTTTGGTCACATGAGCGTGGTATAAAGGTCAGTAGCAATCTTGATTAAGATCAGCGCACATGATTATCGAAGATGGCAAAAGTGGAGAAGAAAGCCGTGAAAGTAAGTTGAAATGTGTAATTAAATGTGATTGAATCTCTAGCCCTCTAGTGCAGATATCCACACTTGCACTTAAGCTAAAATATTATATTATTACCTCACTAGCGTGTTCTTAGGACAATAGTTACCTTTTTTTCACTTTCAACAAATCTTTCTAGCTAACCACGTGGTCCATGGCGGTAGCAATTTCACGTCAAAATTGTTTCAAAACAGTTTCACAAAACGACAAGAAGAACTAAAAAGAAGTGTAAGCGTTCAGAACTATCGAAATGTTCAGTTTTACCACTTCAAGAACGGAGCGCAAGGGATACAGAAACAGAATTTTCCTAACAAGCTTTCGCCCATCACAACCGCGTGTTTCAAATCGGTGGAACGATTAAATACAAACTTAAAGCGATATTATATGAGAAAGTTCGATTATTTTATCCGGTTTATGTATGAGGGGACTTTCCCACAGTGCAACAACGCTTTTGGGAGAAATTTTCCTTTGTTTCCCGCACTTACGTATGGAGAGCGTGTGTTGATGTGTGTAGTTGGCGACGTTCTTGCTGTGGTCGAGGATGCTAAAATCCAAAACTAACCCCAATTGGGGCTGGTAACTGATTTACAAGGAAATGCGTAGCAGCTTGAGGGAGAGTTGTTTGTCAGTGTCCCAGCTAGTGATGACAAAAAGATGACGAGCCTGACATATCTTTGAAGTATCACGTTTTGTGTAGCTTCTCTGGAACAGTGATGTCGAATCGAGGCATTTGTCTGAGGCTGGTAAAGAGACGCTGAACAATTCCTGGTAATAATTTTTCACCAGAGCTCACGTCCTTTCAACAACTTTAAGGGTATTTGTGTCCTGGATTTGCAAATCGTTTAGTTTGGTGAAATTGTGAGATTGTATGTATCTCAAATTTTTTTTTTCCTTTCTCTATTTTTTTTTCTGTTAAGGTGTAGGACAATTCCACTAGAGGTGGTCTTCGGCTATAAAAAATGTAACCAGCAATGAAGGACATTTTTCCCCAATGGTGAGCAGTATGTGAGTCAGTAATGAAAAGTAATCATTGTTGCTCACAATTAAATTATTAATGTTCTTTGCTTGGTTTATGTTTAAAAAATGCTTAATTAACCATTAAAAAACCAAGATCTCATCAATAATTCTCCTTACTGTCTGCCAAACGATTCTCATCATTTAATTTGGAGAATTTGGTATCAGATCAATTAGTAATCCATTATTTGATATTTTTTCTTTATTCTCATCACTTGCCTACATGGTATTTTATAGATGTAGTAAGGAGAAATTCTCTCTTGATCACTCATGAGAGTTAAAGGGTTGATGACCATAGCTTTTTCTTTCCAAAGCATATGAAATTCCTGTAGAGTGATCATTCTTGTTGAAAAGTTAAGCTGATAAGTTATTGATAATCAGGTGCTGATTAGATTGTTGGCAGTGGTCAAAAGTTATCAGAATATGTTTGTTATCTTAGACATGGTATCATTCTCAGAAGTGCAGGTATCATTGATAAATTAATGAGATGCATTTGACTCAGGAAAAATTGGCTGGTGTATTTTGCAGAGCATGTGATAGAATGATGATGCTTTAGACTAGAGTCTCTGAATGACACAGTCTTGAAGAATTCTTTGAACACTCTGACTATCACTGATTAACAATGTTAATTTTTCTTTCTGATGATAGTACTTCTATAACTTACAATTGACATGGCCATGAATGGTGTTGGTTTCAGGTCTCCACAGGTTAATGCATTTATATCTCACAACAGCTTCCAGGTATTTTGGACTTCTTTTCTTGTAGCATGGTAATTAGATGCAGTGAAATACAGTGAGAATTTGCTTGGTGTGCATAGATAATTTTTGTAAAAGAATTTATTAATATAACAAGTCTTGTATGGAAATGTGTTGAACAAGTTCAAACTCATTTGAAGTTGTTTCAAGGGTAGAATAGAGATGAAATGAGTGAAAAAACTTGTTTTGGAAGCAGCACACACTAAGCAGGTTGCCGCTGAGAGGGCTGCCTAAAACATATAAGTGAGGCCCTCTTTGGCAAACTTCCAGAAGAAACCCTTTGGGTACAAGCAAGTTATATCTGATGAAAACCCCTTTCTGACACCTCTTGTATGAGTGCCCATGTTGCACGTTGAACGCAATTTTATTCTGAAATGACTTGCCACTTCTAGGTTACGCACCATTTTAGTGAATGATAATTAAAATTAATTTGTGCATTTATTTGTTTCAGTGGCATTTTGATGAGGATCTTTTGTATCCCTGGTTTAAGGTTAGTAGTAAGGTCTATGTATATAACCAAAAGTGTTTGGCTCTTTGAGTCCAGAACAGGTGGAAATTTTGCTGGAGAAAAGATGACCAAAACCATGCATTTTGGTTGCTGCAAGGGTTTTTTTTTTAACCATGCTGTTTTTGGAGCAAGATTTTTTATTGGCTAGTTAACCCTTAAACTCCTATAAGTGATTAACATGTAATTTCTCCCCATAACATCCACACATTATCCAGCCTACATGTTATGAGAATACTCAAACTTATCAGGTAGAAGTTAGGAGTCTTGATCTAACACCAAATCCTTGTGATTTTTTTACAAGGAAATGTGAAGCAGCTAGAGGGGAAGATTAACAATTAGATCTTGGGAGTTAAAGGGTTAAAATTTATGATCAGTCATTACTAACAAATTTTTCAACTTTTGAATTCTTTGTTTGTGTGAGAAAGCGCATTACCTGCCCATTGTTTATTTGGTATGAGCATCTGAGAGAAAAGAGTATAGGAATGGAGATACTCCATAAAATGTGTTTAAATGCCTCTGTTTAAGCCAGGGTAGCATACAAAATTTAAGGGTAAATGCTGGTATCAGCAGATCATACTACAATCAGAGCACAGTCTTTTACAAGTAATGTTGATGTTTTTGGAGAGTTATGATGAGAAACTTTCAGTTATCCCTGTCATATCAATGATGCTGATAAGTCACGTCAGTCTGATTCTCTCCCTGGACCATCCCTTTGAACTTGTTTCTTCATTCTACACTGTGTGACAAGCTGAAATGTCTCTTTCAGATGCTAAGGGGATAGAAGTGGCCAGGCAGATCAAGCAGCTGGTAGGGTGTGTACAAATCCCTTTTATTGCATGTTTTGTCTTTCCAGTGCTAATGGTTGTTTCAAGGTAATAGTGAGCAAAACAAGAACTGTTGCAGAGTGATGAGCAAAACTTTTTTCCCCATCTTATCGACAATGAAGAGAACTCTTTTGTCACTTTGTGACCAAGCCAAACCTCTCTGACTGCATCATATTCTTGTGTTTTTTTGGAAATATGCACTGTCTACTGTCCAAAAATTTCTTTGAGCCTCAAAAAAAGAATGTTTCCTATGAAAGTCACTCGAACTCTACAATGAAAAGTCTGTTACATGTGCAATTGATTGACAACAGTCATTTTGATTTTCTTTTATTGCAGTTCACTTTTTGCCATTTGGCCACAGTGTCATGCTTTGTATGAGAAACCTCTTTTTGAAAGGTGATTCATCTGTGTTTGTATTTTCTTTTCTTTTTTTTTTTTCCCAAATTGAATTTTTCAACCAGAATGATGATGTTTTGCCATTTTCGCAGTTTCCACCAGAAAGATTTCTATATCTTAATGTTGGTTTAATATCCTTGGATGTCTGACTGGTTGACAAGATTTACTTTATTTTTAACTTTTTGAGTTGTGCTTCTACCTTCATTTGAACAAAGTTTGACAGACTCGTGATATGATTTTAGGCAAACCTTGGTTGTCAATGAAGATCAACAGTGTTAAAAAACAGGAACTGAGGTGAACACTCATTTTGATGCATTTCTTTTGTTTTCGGTGGACTAGTGTGATTTATTGATGTTTTATTCATCATGGTTGTGTGGGTGTGATGTTTTGACTGGAGTAACCTACTAATAAGCAACTGGCATGATGATTTCTAGCCATGTTCGCAGTTTCCACCAGAAAGATTCTGTCTTAATGTTGGCTTATTATCCTTGGATGTCTGACCAGTTGCACATTTTCATGACTTAAGTCAAGTTACAAATCTTTTTATCATATATTTGACCTGGTATTTGC